AAAATCAAGAACAGAAAAGAAAAAAATTCAGTTGCAAACATAGTTTTTGGGAATCCAGTGAACTTTGGTGAGAAGGTCTCAAAACATAGAAGAAATATGGAAGTAGTGAGGAGGCCTAATAAACAAAAAACCCCAAACTTCAAATCTACGACTCATCCAGGTTCTCACAAAATAAAAGATTAATGTTACGACTGTCAGATCTCACATGGTTCAGTTATTGTTGGTCCCTGGAAAACTCAAGAAAACTGCATCCATGGTAAATTTCCAAGTCCAAAACTACTTCTGATGATGTGAGTTACATCTTATGTAGAACGATCCCGACTCTTTTGAAAATGCACGTTTCACTGTCTAAAAACAATGTTACGCTACAGCACTAGTGTTGCACCGATACCAGTATCGGTTGGGGCCCCGATCCAGCACTAAAATGCTGGTATAGATATCGGCGTGTACAAACAAATAAGACACCGATACCATTTTGGGAGCAACTATTGTCACCCATTTCAGGTAGGCCATTAAAAGTTCTACTGGATTCACTTTGTATTAGTCTTTTCCTGCTTCACAAAGGTAGGAAGCAGCTTGACAAAGCCATGATGGCAATTATTTTACATCCAAGTAGTATGCAGTTCTTCATATATAAACACATATCAATTTTGAACAGATGGTATCGGTATCGGCCGATACTGCACAGTCAGGTATCGAGTATCAGTATTGTGGCCAAAATGGCATCGGCGCAAAAGTATACAGTACACAGACATCCATCGAGCACTTGGACCAAGCAGAAAACCGCAGCTCAAACTGAAGCCTGCATCCCTGAGTTTAGATCGCAGACAAGCTAGTGATTGGCCAACCATCTTTTCATCTGAGATTGGTTCTCACCGCTGTCACTCCTGAAAAGCTCACTTTATAAACATCTGACACGCCACTGAAACGGGTCTGTGATTGGATGGTCAAACACGCTGAAGTTAGTTAGATTAGAATACTTGCATCCCCACCACTTCTGAAATTAAAATTTCATCCATTTGGCAGCCATTCCCATAGGACTGATTGATTGACTTTATTGATCTCACAGTGGAGAAATTTACTATGATGGGTTTTTTTTTATTTTTAAATGTATTGTTTTTTCACAGGACTAAATAGCTTTGCACAGCTGTTTTTCGAATGTTAACTGACTGTTGTCATATTGATTACTTCAAGCACTTTACACTAAAGCCACATTCATCCTTCTCCATTCAGAAAAGCTCACCTTCATCCAATAACAGACTGGTAACAGCTTGGGGTTAGGTGCCTTGCTCAGGGGCACATCGACATGTTGGAGTGCAAGACAAGTTTTATTAACTAGTTAGAGATAGATGAAGAAAATATTATCTGTGTACTCTGTTAAATGTGAGATGCTCTGTGTATTTCTGTTACCTTATATGGAAAGCCTGTGGTCTGGGGGAGTGGATTTAGGAAACTGCAACTCTAGACTTTGAGGGAGTCAGACAGACTAACAGGGTGTGGTTGATAGGAGTAAAAACTAAAGTTAATAGTTTTAGTAGTTTTTCTCATCTGCTTATTTGGGTGACTGAGTTTGAGGTAACAATATGATTTACTCATTAAATAATATTGTTTTATACAAATAAATTCTGTTAAAGCTTAAAAATGCCAGTGCATTTCATGTAAACTGGGCCAAAAGTCAAACAAAACATAATTTTAAAAATCTCATGTTGTCTTTGTATGCTAGTAGAATTAGTTTCATGAATTAAAACATTTAAATCTGACAAAAACTTTAATGTTTAATAAATCTTTAAAGGAACAGTGTGAAGTAAGACTTTATTATTCATGCAATAGAATGACTGATAATGAAAAACAAACCAATTATCATAGGAACTGTTAAGGTCCTATAACAAGTAGTTATCTATCTTTATAAAAATTTTAACTTCTCTAACAATTAAAACATGAACATTTTATATTACTTAATTAAAATCCTAACTTTACCTCTTTACCCGCAGACTGTATGTTTCACAGTGTAGATGCTGCTGTATATTTAATTTGGTAGATATAGTTTTAGAAGTTTTTCTAGTATATTATAAATCTTCACAGTGCATGTATGGAATGGTGTACTTCAAGCAAAATGCCTTTTCACAGGTCAGTATTTTATTTCCTGTTTTACTCTGTTACTTTGGAAATATTCCATAATTCCAAATTCGACAAATGGGCCACAAAAATGACCTGAGGGATCAAAGGGAATATTTTTTGTAAACCTTGTTTGGGTGTTCCAGGATTAAAGGCTTATAAATCTTCTTCAACCCAAAAAGACCCTGTACACTCCAAGTTAGGCATCCCTCATGATCTATAATTTTATAATTTCTTTTTCATATTTTGCTCTCATTTTTATCTTTGTTTTAGAATTAAATTTATTATTTATTTTCATTCCGCACTCTTTCTTAATTTCATATAATTATAAAAAAAATAAATTTGTACAGCCCTTTGACCGACATCTGAGCTTCCTCCTCAGCACATTTCAGCACAGACGCTGGTTATACAGAAGTTTATAGAATTGCAATGGAAGTATATCGATACTCTGGCTTTCAATGAGCTTAACGGCCATGGAAACTGTTTTAAAGACATTTAACCCTTCCCTTTGCACATATGCAATGCTGGTGAGAAATGTGCCCAATTGTTTACCACACAAAGACACTACTGCTGGCAAGATCCCTCACTGTCAGATGACCTAATTTTTACAGTATTTGTAAAGAAGCGATTCATTCTGTAGTTAATGTACAATCCTATTACTTTGACACATGGAAACATCTGGATGTTTTTATTATGAAATTTTAAACTGCTGGGCAGCTTGAAAATGATCTGATTTTGATTTTAGATCTTTGATTATTTTATTCCTATTACGCTTTGCAAAGACAGGTCCATATTTAGACTTCTGATAGATGTAAAAGACAATTAGACGCAGTTTACTTGTGGTTTTAGTTCAAATTTACTCATTTGTGAAAGTTGCAGTTTAGTAACTGATAAAGTATTGCCGTGTACCTAGTATATGCAGACATTCAGTTTGAGATGGTTCAATTTGCTAAAACCTGCTGAAATTGGAGCTCTTTCAGATTAACTGTAAGCCTTCAGGATGTTTTCAGTTTTCTACTCATTCTTTACAAAGAGGAAACTGGTGCCTTATCTATAACAAGTAAGAAAACCTGTATGATGACATTGTCATTGAAGCTCGCCTGCAGGGTCTCATCTATCCCCTTAAATTACCACATTCATGCCGAGGAGCATAAATTTCCTATCAGAAGATGTCACATGTATCTAATAGCTTCATCTGGACTCGAACACGATGATTCACAAACAGAGCAGATGACTGACGTCTCAGCAAGTGAGCAGATTAACAACCAAAATTATCCATCCCCGGCAGCAGTTTGGCTTCACCCAATAAAAAACCTGAAAATCAGCTTTCTGCATCTGTCTCAGCCCTGCGCCGGTCACATCTGTCATGTTGAGTAGCCCATCAAAACGTAATTATAGATGACGATCTGCCCAGGTTCTGATTGATGGCCCCTGGTTGCATCTGATTATTATTATACTGATTAAAGTTAATAATCTATACTGATAGATAGGAATAACTTGCATCCAAGTGGAAAGACGGGGGAGTTGCCTTGAATAAAGAGGAAGAATAAGGGAAAGATTCCTTTGTTATATTGAGCATGTAAATCAGGAAAAAATAATTTTAAATCAATTAATAATACTATCACAATAACTTGTTCAGATTTAGTTTTTTTTTCCATATCAAAACATTCACAGAAATCAAAGATTAAATATCCTTGAACTGATGTGGTTCATATCCATGCTGCAACAAATTAAAATGAAGCTTTGATGTTCTGCACTGCTTCTCTGTTGCCTAAAAGATGTAAAAATAATATATGGAGTAAATTTTGTTTAATTATTGCCACATGCAAATAACATAATAACATATAAATATAAACAACAATTTTTTTGAGAAACTTTAGTGTTTTCTCAGATTTTATAAATAAATATATTTCTGATTTCTTTCTTTTTGTACAGGTTTTATACTCTAAATTTTATTTTCAGATAAGTCAGTTTTTCATGAATAGCATTATTTTTTAAATTGCTTCTCACAGATCACATTCTCTTCACTTCAAGCCCAGTCCAAACGCTCGCTCTTGCACATGCACATTGACAAATAAATGTTGTTGCTAACTGACAGCATGCTCATAGAAATGTGTCTTTTCTCTTCACTCAGGAACTTTCACTTAGGAAAGTTCACCCTTAAAGTGAAAAGAATACCATCTCTACAACTCAATCTGAAAATGTTAAAAATTAAATATGAAGATATTTAGAAAAAAAAAAGGAAAAAAGCTTTTGAAAAAAGTAATATATAGCAAAAACTGGAAAAAGAAATGGAAAAAAATCAGTTTCCTTTTTACATTGCTTTTTTAAAATTTCCATTTATAAAATGAGTTCTTTGCTAACAACAATAATGGAACAAAATTCACTCCATACAAAGATACCATTTTTGCTGTTTCCCAAAAGGAGTCTACAGTAGTAGGATGTTTTGAAATTTGTTTCTTTCAAGCTATAAATAAAAGCTCCTCTACCAGTAGTACAGTATACCAAAGTTATTTTGCACTCATCTGGTTTGCTAATTCTGCTCCAGGTTTCAAGCACGGGGCTAAAGTTAACAACTAGCTAAGACTTCTATTACAAATAGTTTGATACCAGCAGATAATGTGATTCTGCAGTTTTATGAAGATTTATTATTTCAGCTCTGCATCTAGTTATTACAGGAGTCCCTGATTTAAGGTTGTGATTTATGTGACCTTCTTATAAAAGTGACTCATGTCTCATTTCACATAAGAATCTCTCTAAGTCTTTGTGGTGAAGGTATAACTTCTGACTTATGGAAAAAAGTATATAGTTTGCAGTTATATGGAAGCTCACTGTTTTCTTTTCTTTATTATTAGCTGAACCCTCTGCTTCTTTTTGCTTCCCAGCAGTGAGAGCTGATCATGAGGCTCCTGTGGAAGTCCTTCGACAAAATGAGGTGTTTAAGGAAGCGAGCCATGCTCCCCGTCCTCACCTTCCTACTCACCTCCCTGCTCTTTTTCAACCTTTACCTGGATGATGGTTACGTGTTGGTGAGTTTCTCCTCTTCAAAAAGAAGGCTCTGAAACCTGTCTCAGTGACGTTCCTATGTTGACCTGTTTTTTTTTGGGCTCTAGGAAGGTGAAAAAAGACAGCTGGGAGAGACGATTCATCCTTCAAGCTCTGACAGATATATGCACACGTTTAAAGATTTGTCCAATTTCTCTGGGAGTATCAATGTGACGTATCGCTATCTTGCTGGAATTCCTTTGTCAAGAAAAAGTGAGTTTTCACGTGAAGTACAGTTGAAAGCAGATATTTACATTGATTTAAAAAAAGAAGCGTAAACATCTTTTTTTTTTTTTTTTAACAACAAACAGTTTTTCAGAATACTTTCCTAATACCAGAATAATGAAAGAGGGAGAAAAATGTTTTTACTTTGTTTAATGCCAGAGGTTTATTTCATTTAAACTCTACGACTAGGTTAAAAAGCTTTAAAGGGGCCCAGGTCACCATGGACGTAATTTTTGGTGGGGACTGGGGGGACATGTCCCCTGCACTTTTTCAAACATCCATTTTGGTCCCCTGCAGTTTTTACTGTCAAAATACAACGTTACGCTAAAGCACACAGAAATTCGTCGGGCACTTGGACCATGCAGACAATCGAAAGTCAAACTGAAGACTGCTTCCCTGACTTTATACCGCCCACAATCTCCTGAGTGGCCCACCGTCTTTTGTTGTGTGATTGGCTGTAACCGCTGTCACTCCTGAGAACCTCACTTTACAGACATCTAATGCACCACTGAATCGGGTCTGTGATTGGATGGTCAAACACGCTGAAGTTAAACATATTAAAAAATACTCCCAATTCTGAAATCAAAATTTCATCAATGCCAGTCACATACTATGCCTAGAAAAAAAAAAGAAAAAATCCATATGTTCATGTCAAACTAAAGCAGTACACACCAAGCATTTATAATGAGAGTGTTTAATATTAGTATAGTAGTATTTTTTTAGTCTCAGCAGAACTTCTTTATTGAATGCAATCAACTGACATAAACTTAATGCACACCGTCGCCATCTGCTGGCAGTACTCACTCACACACCAATCAACTTGGCAGCCGATCCCTCTGCTATTAACTCCAACATTAATATTATTTTCGGAGCACAGCTTTTTTTGTTGTTTATATAGCTCTCTAGGAATCTATTTGGATTTTTGTGATTTTTTTTACGTTAATCTTGAATTGTTCCTCTTTCTTTTCAGACCCTAAATGGAGGAAATTCTAACATGCTTTGCTCCATTATGTCCTTGTTTAGATGTTGTGTCCAAGCACACACAATATGCCACATCCTGCCATGTGGTGTTGCTATGCACTGTTAAACATAGATTTAAAATATAATCCGCCAACATGATGCCATAATAGAGTTAGTTTGCAACCGGGGTGAGCTACTGTTGCAGAAATTCAGAGTATGTATCTAGGCCCCTTTAGGTCTCAGTCCACAACCTCTCTAAAGTAGTTTGCTGTAATTTTGGCCCATTACTCCTGACATAATTGGTGTAACCCAATCAGATTTTTCCTCCTAATGTAACTGAGATGATTAAAGCCAAACGCTATAAATTTTGTTTCATGAGATTTAAGGTCATGTGTCCAATAATTGCTGTTTGTATCATTGGTATATTTGCAGACTTTAATCTATTTTACATGTGGCTTTTGAAGTAATGGCTTAGACCTGGTAAAGTGGCCTTTCAGGCCTTGTTAGTAATGGAGTCACTGTTATACAACAAATATTGACAAAAATACAAATCCATGACATCATTTCCACAACTCTCCTGAAAATAAATATATTTCCTCTTAATATGATCAGGTAAATAAATGGAGTACTTTTTTATTTCTTAAAGATAAACCATCTTATCATATTGGCAAATTGTTTTACTTCACTGTTGAAATCAATGGAAAAAATTGTAATGACCTATATATAATTTTTTGCTGTGTAATAAGAATAATACTTATTTAAGTGTAAAAATTATGACATTGCTTGGAATCTAATGAATTGAAATAATGTTGGTCAATCTAACTGACATGAAGAAAGCTTTAGCCTGATTGCATGCTCATTAGTGAGAAAAAAAAAGCCATTTAATAAGTTATTTGAATATCTGGTTTTGCCTGCATTACGTGATGGTTTTTACCTTGAATTTGAAAACTTTATGTTGGAAATGATAAGAGTGTTTTTATTTCAGAGTATCTCACGATTGGCTTGGCATCCGTCAAAAGGAAGAAGGGAAGCTACCTTCTGGAAACCATCAAATCCATCTTTGACCAATCAAGCTATGAGGAGCTGAAGGAGATTGTGGTTGTGGTCCATCTTGCAGACTTTGATCTGGTCTGGTGTGAGAATGTGGTTCAGGAAATCACCAGGAAGTTTGCTCACCACATTATAGCGGGACGGCTGTTGGTCATCCAGGCCCCAGAGGAGTTCTACCCCTCTCTGGACGGCTTAAAGAGGAACTACAATGACCCGGACGACAGAGTCCGTTTCCGTTCCAAGCAGAACGTGGACTATGCTTTCCTCCTGAACTTCTGCACAAACCTGTCGCACTTCTACATGATGTTGGAGGACGACGTGCGCTGCTCCAGGAACTTTCTGACAGCGCTGAAGAAGGTGATCACCTCCAGAGAAGGCTCCTACTGGGTGATGATGGAGTTCTCTAAGCTGGGCTACATCGGTAAGCTCTACCACTCCAGAGACCTGCCTCGCCTGGCTCATTTTCTCCTCATGTTCTACCAGGAAATGCCTTGTGATTGGCTTCTCATCCACTTCAGGGGACTGCTGGCTCAAAAGGATGTGATTCGCTTCAAACCCTCGCTCTTCCAGCACATGGGTTATTACTCCTCCTATAAAGGAGTGGAGAACAAACTGAAGGACGATGACTTTGAGGAAGACTCGATTGACATTCCTGACAACCCCCCTGCTAGTATTTACACAAACATAAACGTCTTTGAGAACTATGACGCAACCAAAGCCTACAGCAGTATAGCTGACGAGTATTTCTGGGGGAAACCTCCGTGCACTGGAGACTTCTTCATTGTAATCTTCAACAAATCGACAAAAATTAGCAGAATTAAAATTGTGACGGGCACGGAGGATCGTCAAAACGACATCCTTCACCACGGAGCTCTGGAAGTAGGCCAGAAGTCTGTAGAGACCAAACAGGGAAGACAATGTACATCATATATCACACTGGGGGAGTTTAAAGTTGGCAACATTGAGGTCAACGGCGTGGACCATAAGATTGGCTTTGACATTGAGTGTGTCAGAATAGTTGTCACAGCTAGTCAGAAAGAATGGCTCATCATAAGAACTATCAGCCTCTGGACCTCACAGCCTGTTGGTCAGTTAAAGTAGGAGCGCTAAATTCTTCAGTTTTTTTTTTTTTGTTTGTTTGTTTTTTTTTTGTCTGTATGTTTTGACAGTGTGACTTTATTTTCGGACTATTGGAGTACATTTGAATCGATCCATATTTTTTTGGATTGCTCAAAGATCTGTATAACAATGGTGATGTATCAGAAACAAAATTACTGTGTACATAAAAGATTTCTACTACAATGTCCAATTTTTTGAGGATCTGTTTATAAAAAAAACATGCACATTGCCAATACTGTCTGCAGTTTTTCAAGTCATTTTATCAATTTAGATTAGATAATCTTGGCCTCTTGAAGTTTACAACTTGGTTTGAAGGAAAGGTAATGTTTTTCAGAAATTGTTTTGATATTTTTTGTGCTTTGCTACTATCTGCTGGTTCATTAGGAAACTTACAACGAAATATTTGAAATCAATTTAATTGATAAATTATATAATTTATTCGATAATCTTTTGCAAAACAGAATATGTAGCACATAAAACATGGTTTGTTTAATGTTGATCAATTAATCACAGTTAATCCGTTGCTGGATTAATTTAGAAACACTTATATATTATTGAAAATGAGAAAGAAAGTCTTTAACAAACCTCATAGGAATGAAAATTAGGGTCGTGCACCTCAGTCCAGGGAAAGAAAAAGGGCTCCTTCTCTAAATTAACTGTCAATGCAAAAACAAAATACCTTAATGATTGTAGCATTTTGTCATATTGCTTTCATTTATTTTATATAAAGGAAGCAAACAAAGTACTGCTTGGTTTCAGGTTATATACCACAGTTTCTTTTTGGCCTTTCAAAATAAAAATCTGAATAACATTGATTATTTTAGGGCAACAGTGGCATTGGATGCAGGAGTTTTCCCTACTCCGGCTGTTGCTGTTGTGTCCTTAGGCAAGAAATTTCACCTGCATTACCTACTGATGGTGGTCAGAGGGCCCAGTGGCACCAGTGTACGGCAGCCTCGCTTCTCTTAGGGAACCTCAGGGCAGCTGCGGCTACAATGCAGCTCACCACCAACAATGTGCAAACTTGAAAAAGCACTATAGAAGTACAGGCCATTTAGCATTTCACCTTCTGATTGCCTTTAAATCAAGCCCCATTAACCAGTCTGTCATGCTGTATAGGTCCTGCGTGATTTGCTTTAACAGAAATTCCAGAAAGCTCACATACAGTATGAGGCCATAACAATCAGCTGGATCAAAGACTACCTGATAAATAAATATATAGTGTCTTTAGTCAGAGGTTTCCCCAGATATGTATACTGTAAGGTAGACTTTTTATTTATTTATTTATTCCTTTATTTAACCAGGAAAAGTCCCATTGAGATTAAGAATCTCTTTTTCAAGGGAGTCCTAACCAAGACAGCGGCAAAAGAATACATTACAAATTACATTACAGTTTACAATTAAATCTATCTATAATCAGAAATTCATAAAACAGTTACAAACCATAGATCTCAATTCCAAACCTTTGAGCAATCGTTTAAAATGTCTGATTGGAATCAAATCCTTCAACTTCCAGTCTTTCTGAAGACTGTTCCATGCTGTGGGAGCAGAGTACTGAAAAGCTGTCTTTCCAGCTTCAGTGCGGACACTAGGTACAGACAGAAGCAAAGACTCTTGAGAACGTAGACAATACAGTCCAGCTGCTCTTGGTTGAATGTACTCACAGAGGTATGAGGGGAGCAGACGGAGAATACCCTTATAAATCATCATATACTTAGTGAGTGAGTCTACGAGTCTCTAATGATGGCCAGCCCACACGTATGTAAAGTTCACAGTGGTGTGTGCGAGGCTTACAGTTTGTGATTAATCGTAGGGAGGCATGGTAAACTGAGTCTAAAATTTTTATCCTCTCTGTAAGTATGGAATTGATGAAAATATCGACATTCTCCCTTCTTTTGTGAGATGCTGATAGTTCGGAAAAAATGCATTTACCAGAGACTAGGTTTAGGGCCATTTTGTTACTGAAAAAAAAGTATAAAACAAAACCAATAATCATAAAATAAAATAACATAACATAAGACTATATTTCCTTGTTAGATGTATTACGTGAGCTATGAAGATAAAGAGCTGCTTTCAGCTCTAGAGCTGCAAGTCGCAGCCCAATGATGTAATAGAGGAAAACTGTGATCCTATCTTAATATGGCTGAAGCTACATGTCAAGCACATCACATTTTCAAATAATTGTATAAAAGAATGAACTATTGAGGTAAAAACATTTAATTTTCAATTCCATTCAGTTTATTTATATATTATACATTTTACAGAGACAATTCACCCAGATCATACACTCAGATTGGTTCAAGGTTTTCTTTCTAAGGAAAACCAGCTGATTGCATTAACTCTGTGCCTTGAAACCAATCCCTCACACTAAGCATGTTTGTAGCGACAGTGGAGAGGAAAATTCCCTTTTAACAGGAGAAAACCTCCAGCAGAACCAGTCTCGGTATGAGCCGCCATCTGCTGAGGCTGACTACGGTTCAAGGAGACAGAAGAAGACATACAGAAAGAAGCAGGGATACAAAAGGCAACTGTCAACCAGCTCCACAGGTGGCCACTCCCTGTCCAGTAAACACACAGCTGGGCAGATGAGCTCAAAGACTGCTCCCATGTTAGAGGATGAAGAGAGCACATCCAGTTAGTCACAGTCAGAGAAACAGGACTACACTGAAAAACAGGCAGATCTCCAACATCTATAATCAAAGGTATTGATGGCAGCAGCACAGCTGATATTTCTCTCCAGGATGGAGAGCAGAGAGAGCATAACATCAGAGATTGAACCAACAGATTCTGCAGAGTGGGAGAATAGAGATAGAATGAAGAAGAATGTTGAAATAGGGGTCCCTATGTCCTTCAGCAGTCTAAGCCTATAGCAGCATAACTATAGAGATAGCTCAGGATAACCTCAGCCACTCTAACTATAAGCTTTATCAAAAAGGAAAGTTTTAAGCCTTCCCTTAAAAGTAGACAGGGTCCTTATGTGAGCAACATAAGGAACGTTCATATCTCTGATATAAGATGGAGCTTGGCCATTTAAGGCTTTATCTGTGAGAAGGAGGATTTTAAATTCCATTCTGGATTTAACAGGAAGCCAATGAAGAGAAGCTAGGATAGGAGAGATATGATCTCTCTTTTTCATTTTCATCAGAACTCTGGCTGCAGCCTTTTGGATCTAAATGCTTTTAACTGCACTTTGTGGACTTCCTGATGATAAAGAATTACAATAGTCCAGCCTTGAAGTAACAAATGTATGGACTAGTTTCTCCGCATCACCCCTGGACAGAATATTTCTGTAATTTTTGCAATCAGCTGTCATTTTGAACTCCCCTGTTTCCTACGAAGTAACTCTTCAGCCTTCATAGAATATTTTCATAACTTTTGTGATTATGTGTCAACTTACAACTGGTTGAATAACACCTGTCTAGGCCCGAGGGGGTCTGTATCGCTTTTACCAGCACTAATTTGCCTTCATGTGGTATTTATGGCAAATACCAAAAGCCGACATGAAAGTAGCCCATTGAACACCCACTTATGTCGTTATTCCACTTGGAAAGCTTAGAAAATTCTATGATGCTGTGATGAGGGAATCTTTGACCTTTCAAGATTGCGGAGTGCATTAAAACAATTGTGCATGATCATTACTGCATTGTTAAGTGTTTCCCCCTGTTGTGTTTGCAGCTTACACAATCCTATTGACACACACACACACACACACACACACACACACACACACACACACACACACACACACACACACATATATATATATATATATATATATATATATATATATATATATATATATATATATATATATATTTTTTTTTTTTTTTTTTTTTTATATATCACTATTTAAACTCATGTCCCTTTTGAAATGACTTTTTTTGTTTAATTTAACAGATGCTCACTAGATGTCAGTTCATGCATTTGATGAATCCTCTTCTTCCTGTAGCAGTTGAATTAGGAAGTCTGTCTTGCCCAAGTAGCAGGTCAGTATAATCTTTGGATCCAACATGTTTCTCTTCTCTATCACAACAAAAGCACTTGAACACAACGCGCTATTCATTTCCACTTTACAAGTGGAAAGGATATTTATCAGATGACATGAAGACAGCAGAAACCTTGAGGAGGGTGGCAGTAACCCTGCCACAAACAAATGTGCACTTCCCCTTTTTGTCCACTGGGAGGAGCCAAAATGGAAAACTGAAAGCTCTTATGACCTGCTATAAGTGGACATGGTTTCAATGTCACAAAACTTGAAGAAAAGATAATCAATGGGTATGACTACTAAAACATGTACAACAGGGTTTATTTAGAGGCAACTTCTGAAAATATATTTTTAATTTTTACTGAACAATTTCACAATTACAAAATAGGTATATGTAAACATAAAATGTCAATCCAAGAAGCTAATAGGCAAATACAAGAAGAAAAAAAAGGCATGAAAAGCACAAAACATAAACAAAGTTGGGTATCGAGGAGAACTATGATAATAATTAACAAAAGCTGTAATGTTGATGATGATAACCGAATTTATTTGGAAAAAAATACAGAAGTCATACTGTACAGGTACCACAGCATATTAGGGCCATTCAAACAAAATTAGAAGTTAAATTTTTGAGTTCAAGCATAATTACGAGAATGAACACGCAAATTTAAAAACACCCGAATTAACGAGATTATAAACATGCGCATTTATGAGGAAACAGCGTGCAAATGTACAACAATAAATAGACATATTTAAAAGAACAAAACATTTACATGTTGGAGATTATAAAGATGCCAATTTAGAGGGATAAATTTAAAAATGTACTAGAATAAAACTAAAATTTGCACATTTATCAGATTCTAAGCATACAAATTTACGAGATTATAAGAATGCACATTTAGAAGAAAAATGTAGAGAATTTATGAGAGTAAATGCCGAAATTTAGGGGATTATAAACATGCAAATTTATGGTATCATTATTTTTACTTTAAACTTACATGAGGAGGTCATTGTACCGTCTCATTTTATCGCTAAAACTTCCTTGTTAATGATGCATTTGCATGTGCTTTATGTAGCATACGTGTATTATCTTTAGGGCTAAAACAATTAATCGGATTAATCCTGATTAATCGATTATTGAAATAATCCTCAAATAAATTACTTATCAATTGATCGCTTACTGGAGTATAGAGACTCTAAAACATGCCATTAGCTGACAGAGCGACCCACTTAGAGCAGCAATTATTGTAACACAAAATATATAAACATTTTGGATTTAGGATGAAAATATTTTCCTTCTGTCAATATGCTGTACAGAAAGTAGACAAGTTTTTGTTTTTCACCTGGTTTAATTTAGTAAGACAAAGTATTTAAGTAATCTTTTGCTATTCGATCATTAATCGATTAGTCGAAAAAAAAAAAAAAATCGATCGATCGATTTCTAAATTAATCTTTGGTTGCAGCCCTAATTACAATCTTGCATTGTTCCGAAAGGTACATGTTTAAACCTTGCAAATTTGCTACCATTTTCTCCTAAATTGGTGTGTTTCTTTCCTCATTAATTTGTTACTTTTCTTCTTATATTTGTATGTTTTAATTTGGATGTTTATGTTCGTAAAAATGTAACTTTAATATAAAAATTTCATTTTTTTTTTATCATCTTTGAATAGTCCTAACACGCCGTCCTGTAGACATACAGGGGCCCATGTCATATATGGTGCTAATATTTCTGAAAGCTTTTTTCAAGAATCCTTTTTTTTTTTTAAATGATATTTATTTACACAGAGTACAAATAAGTAAGCCAGTAGCAACAGTACAAATCTGTAGAAGGCATAGTAGAGGCAGATTTCAAAATGGAAGTAAAAGGAATTATTGATAAGGAACAAAAAATAAAAGGAATGGATGATAATAATTAACAACAGGGGGATTCATGTTAGGTAAACCCATCAGTATTTCAGTCAGGTATTCATATGATTCGATACATTTAAGAGATTTCAAATAAAACTTGAATTCATATAAACACTACCTTAAATGATGATTTCAACACCCTTTGTTTATGAATAATTCTGCTAAAGACAGAATTAGGTTATATCAGAGTTCTATTGTTTTGCTTTTTAATATTATTCCAAAATTCGCCATCTCTCTAGAAATAAATTCAAAAAATGTATTTTTTTATTTGATCCATGTTTCTAATGTAGGGATTTAAACAGGAATCCCCCCAATCTCTAGCAAGACGCATCTGGATGACGTCTAACGAGGTCATGACGGCATTGAGCTGCGCCGCGGAGTGTTGTTATGGTTTGGTTTGTCAGAGCAGATTCTTTCAGCCAAGCAACAACGGAGGATTGCACTTTTGGAGTTTAAAAGGTGGTGAGTTTAACAGACTTTATTTTCCCTTTGGTAACTTTCCTCCTAATGAAGATGCAGCTTTTATATTTCTATTATGCAGACATCTCGGTTCCGGTCGGTTCCTTACATATCAGAGCTACTGCTGCTTCTAGCTAGCTGATAGCTTATCAAGAAAACTTTGAATTTGAACTGAAACACAAAACGTCAGTTAGATACAGTTACATCCGATCGGTCCGTCATAATATTGATTCATTCCAGAAAATAGTTTATATTTGATAAAAATATGATAACTTTAATCTTAGCAAACAGAAAAAATTAAAGGAAATTATTTTCTAATACATCAAAGCCCTTAGATGTGTTTAAACCTAAGCTTTTTCTTCCCCATTCTTTCCTGAAAAGAGATCACTCGGTAGAAACTGTTAAATAACGCTTCATAATGGTTAGGGCTGCAACTAACGATTATTTTGCAAATCTATTAATCTGTTGATTCTTTTTTAGATTAATAATTAGATCGCCAAAGGTTCTTTGCGAAATCAAACCAGGTGAAACTTTTCCAAATGAAAATATTTCTTTTTTTATTTTAAATGCAAAGTGCTTATATATTATTTAGCAAGTTTGGTATAATTACTGTTCTCTATGGGTTGTTCTGTCAGCTAAAGCCATGTTTGAAGTCTCTTTACTCCATTTAACGATTAATTGATTGCTAAATTAGTTGTTGATTTCAATAATCGATTTCAATAAACAATTAATCCGATTAATTTCATCCCTATTACATGTATTAGATAACCATGAGTCATGACAGCAGATTTTACATAAGTTGTAATCTTATTCAGACCAGAGAAACTGCTTGCTCGCTTCCTCCTGAAGCCTGCCTCAATCAAAGTTCAAGAAGCATTTAATACAACCCCAGTATGCCACATCATCACATCATTACATCATACATGTTTATAAATGTGGGGACACCTCTGGCTCCAGCCATATCAAAATAAGACCCTGTTCTTAGATCAAGGACATTCCAAATTCTCCATTAGAATCATCCACTCCAATCTCTGTTCTCTACATATTGAACATGATAACAGAATATCCTGACCAAAGAACTGCCCTAATTGGATAAACTGCTTGGAAAAACGTTAGTTTAGACACTTGACAGGCAGGTATTATTAGGATTTAAAAGACTTGTGCATAACCAATCAAAATAATCCTAACAAGGTAAAAACAACACTGGTAATCTTTTTAAGGCCATTGTCAATACCCACTATTTTGATATCAGTCAGACTGATTCCCAGTTTATGCTGATAATTGTTATGGGAGGATTTTTTTAGGCCAATATTCGCCTTCTGCTGCTGCCCCCCACTGATCATATGGTCTATGTTTTATTTGAATTCTCACTGGCCAGTTGCATGCAAGAACCTCAGCACCGGTTTAGCTACTGTATTAATATCGATCAGGTCCCATCAGAAAAAGAAGAAAAAAAAAAACACAGGGGGAGTATCTAGGACAACTCATTAGAACGTGTATCAAGTTATATTTAGTTAGTTTAACTTGATCCTGACGACCAGATAAGATAATACTGCTGTTGTTAACCATTGGTTGGCAAATAAAGTAGTCTAAACTAAAATATGTTTATTATCTCCTTATTTTTATGACAGAAAAAATACAGATGACAGACATTACTTTTACAAACTACTTTTATTTAAATAATCTCTTCTGCCAGGTGATCTTAAGTTAAAGGAAAAGGAGATATGCGGTGTGAAATGTGCATGTAAAACAATCACATTTTAAAACAAGCAATGAAAATATAACACATTAAATGTATATTACAATGACATAGTTTATCAGTTAAGAACCACTCTGAGCTATGGGAGCCCATGGGGTGGATTGGTGGGTGGGTGGGGAATTCAGATTTTCCAATAATTTGTCTGATCGAGAAGGAACTAGAAATGTAAACGATGAAAGAGAATTCAGTAAAATTATATAAAAAAAAAAGAATCCCTGAGAAAAAAACTGAGAATTGAAAACTTGGTTGTTTGAAAGAATAACCTAACCCTACTTGCTTAATAACTGGAGGTCTGCCGATCCACGATGTTTATCTTAATAGTGAATAAAAAATATCACTCGTCCAACAGCATCTATAAAAAAACGTTCAGGACTGAAACGATGAATCAGATTACCCATAATTCATCAATTATTGCAAACTAACCTGGTAAACAAATGGTATTATTCAGAGAGTAAAGGTTCATAGACCTACCTACAGGAGTTATCACGACAAAACTATAAACATAAAATCTATTCTTTATAAATGCATATATATATATATATATATATATATATATATATATATATATATATATATGTTATTAAATGTGTATTTTTTTGCTTGTTTTTGCCATTTTTAATTCATTTAAATTGTGCAAAGGTTTTGTTTCTATATATATTTCAAATGATTGTTTATTTGAAATGTTAATAATTGGTGATGATCTTGTTTTCGATAATTTAATTAATGGCAAAAAATAATCAATATAATAATAAATTACTAAAAAGCCCTAGTCAAATATTTATTTTTTGCATATATCTTTAAACTTCATTCCCCTTCCATACATTTAGCCATGTCTTTCTGTCCTGTCATTGCAAACTATAACCATGAAAGTCTGAATGTGGGACAGTCTGTATCTGGCTCCTCTGAGAAATTAAATACACACACTGATAATAGGATGATGATATATTCTAAGGTTATTGTGCAACCCTGGTTTACTAGATATGGAGGTATGGGTGTTTTCATGTCTTGAATGATTTTATTTCACCACAGTCTTGATGCTATTGCAGCAAACCACAGTATCACGTGATGACATCACAGCAGTCACACACATCCATAATCGTGTTTGAGCTTTCAGTGGTGTAAAAATGTGTTTCCCCTTTTTCTGTTTTTCTTTTTGCATGGTTGTGACATTTAACTACTTCAGGACATAAAACTGATTTAAATTTTAGCCAAAGGCAAAATAAGTTCAAACAAAAAATAGTTTTAAATGAAGGTTTTTGTTATTTAGTGAAGGAAAAAATCAAACCCACGTTGTTCTCTTTAATAAGTGGTTGGGCGACTCTTAGCAGCTTCAATGTGTTATTTAAGTGTTTTGGAATAACTTGCAGCGCTGTGAAGGAACTTTGGCCCACTTGTGTATGTATGGAGGGAATTTTATTGTATTATTGTTGCAAGCAAAGGATACATTTTGTATTCCAAAGATTTTTAAAAGCATTCCACTTGACTTTGTCTTCAAGTTTTAAAAAATTTGCTTCCCATCCATGAAGCTTTTTCAATTAAAAAGTCAGAAATAGCATTGAGTTCGAAGCTTTAGTCCAACAAAGCCTGAATGACTGAGAATCTTCACCAGCATATAACACATTTTATACATTGGAATAAAAAAAAAAAAAAAAAAAAAAGGGGCATCCAGAATTGGAATGTTGAAAAAAAATGTTTATATAAAAAAGGTTATGAGATCAATTTAGGTGTTTTCTCAGATTTATTTTTAAAATATATTCTCTTTTCATTTTAAATTTTTTCAATTTTTTGTTCAGATCTAATTTTAGGGATTTAAAGAGTGCTTCAATAATCACATTCTCCTCACTAGGGCTGGCCATTTAATGATATTTGCAATATAATCGCAGTTTAACAGAGAGATAGAGGGTTGCAGCTAGCACATAGATCCATGCATGCGAGTAGAAGTAAGAACTTTTTCACATAATAGACTAAAATTCAGCAATAATGGACTCTTGGCAAGTAAGATTTCAAAAACTGAAACTCCAAGCTTGTTGGTGCAAAGGAAAATAAAATAATTGTAATTTCGATTAAAAATAATCGCAATTTCGATTTTTGGCAAAATCTGTCAACCCTTCTCCTCACTTCAAGCTGATTACAAAATCTAGTCTGACACACACTTTGCTAACATTAGCAAAGTCCATCCAGACCAATAGAAATGAGTCTTTGCTCCTAACGGAAAGCGCGCCCCTAGAAATAAACGTGATCTAGAAAATTCAATATGTGAATTTAAATTCAGTCTGAAAAAAAGAGCAATTTGAAAAAAATAAAGTGTGAAAAAAACAGGAAAAAATTCAATATTAATTTTCTTTTGAAATACAATAATAAAAATAAAATAATATATTTAAGACAAGAGAAAAGTTACTGTTCAGGCCTTTTTTTGACCGTTTTTTTGTCAGCCACTCTGCGAAGGTTCCCCACTGTTCCCACCAATAGTAAATCCTGGCTCTCACTGTGCTTTGCTGGAGTCCTCAAAGCTTTAGAAATAGCTTTGCAATTCAGTGTGAACGCCTTCCCAGGCTGATTGATTCAATGTCTTTCTTTCTCATTGGTTCCTGAGTTTCTTTGATCTTGCATTTGAGAATCTTCTAGAGTGCCTCATTTTACTACACAGCTCCTATTCAAGTGATTTCTTATTTTAGAACAGGTGTGGTTGTAATCACTCCTGGGCGCGGACAGAGAAAACAAACTCAGCTGTTATAAATGCAATTATGTTTCAACAACAGAGGCATCACTTTTTGACACAGATTTGGATTTTCTTTGCTCTCTTCATTATATAAAAATGATTTTAAAACTGCATTTTGATCATTTGTGTTGAATAAATTATAAATGCAGATATTGATATAATGTATATGTATTAAAGTGCAAATGTAAAAAAAAAAAGAAATCAGGTTAGAGGTAAACACTTTTTCACTTACACTGTGTTCAGTTCTGGAGTCATTATGCTTATCAGACACAGGAGGAAATTAGACTATTTCTGCACGATAACTTTGGTTTAAGAACTATTAGAAGAGGCACATTTTAGCATTTTTAAAACTTTCTTTAGATCCAAATATAATACATTCACTTTCCCAACAGGAGCTGCAGAACCGAACAAAGAGCTGCCCTCTTCTGGACAGTAAGCTGCTGCTGCCTCCAGGATGGGCCAGCAGATCTCAGGTCAGCTGGTGAAACATGCTGGACTGGTCCGGGAAAGTGGTAACCTATCTTACGAGGAGTTCCTGGCTAGAGTGGCAGAACTTAATGACGTGTAAGTCCGAAAATATAACTTTTTCATCCATCCATCAATTTTCTCCCTCTTTATCTGGGGACGGGTCGCGGAGCCAGCAGTCTAAGCAGAGAGGCCCAGGCTTCCCCATCCACACACACTTCCTCCAGCTGCTCTGGGGGGACCCCAAGGTGACACCAGGCCAGCTCAGAGACATAGGCTACGTTCACACTGCAGGGTTTGATGCTCAATTCTGATTTTTTTGCGTTGCCGTTCACATTTACAAATATATGCGACTTGTATGTGATCCCCTGTGTGAACTGCAGTCATACAACCTAAGTGTCCCACATGTGCAGTAGAGGACGCATTGATGTCACAAGCAAGCATGCTCTGTGTTTACGGAAGTTAACATGGATGGTAGTGCCGGAGAGCATCTAGCGATCTTTCCCAACCTATAAACACAATCTTTTTAGGATGGTTAAACATAAATACTGCTCTCTGCATCATCATTTGCCATGGTTATGGTTTCTGGCTGCTTCTTAGTGACCTTCGGTTACTAATGACGTTCAGGTCAGATGAATGCGACCTGGCCGTTCAGACATAAGTCGCATTTGAAAAGATGAGATTCGTATCGGATTCAGGACCACATAGCCAAGTGGCCTGGGTCGCATTGGAAAAAAATCAGATCTGTGTTGTTCAGACAGCCATGAAAAGATCAGATCCAGGTCGCATGTGGGCAAAGAAAATCGGATTTCGGTCACTTCAGGCTGCAGTTTGAAAGTAGCCGTAGTCCCTCCAGCTTGCCCTAGGCCTTCCGCCAGGCCTCCTCCTGATAGGACAGATGCCCGAGCCACCTCAGCTGGCTCCTTTCGACGTGGAGGAGCAACGACTCTACTCCAAGCTCCTCGAGGGTAACTGAGTTCCTCATCCAATCTCGAAGGGTAAGCCCAGCCACCCTGTGAAGGGAACAAATTTCGGCCGCTTGTATGAGATCTTGTCCTTTCGGTCATTACCCAGATCTCATGACCATAGGTGAGGAAGGGGGACATTGATCGATCGGTAAATTGAGAGCTTTGCCCCCCATCTCAGCTCCCTCTTCACCACGACAGTCTGATACACCGACCGCATCACTGCCGACGTCGGACCGATCCATCCGTAGATCTCACACTCCGTCTGTTCCTCACTCCTGAATGAGACCCCGAGATACTTGGACTCCTCCCTCCTCCTTCACTTTTTCTGTTCTAGTTTAAACCTTTGAAATTAGATTTCCAAAGAAAGAAATGAAGATTTTACTCCTGATGTTTCTTTTAATTTTTCAACTTTTTAATTTAGAACAATATCAAGTGCTAAAAGCGAAACAACCGTTGGTTTGTTTAACTCTTTGATTCTAAACTTGTTGTTCCGAGATTTTGTAGTTTAATTCCTGCCAAAGCAGCGGTAGAAACAAAGACACATCCGTTTGCTTGTTTAAGACTCTTCTCTCCCCTCAGGACGGCCAAGTTAGCTGCTGGGCAGCAGAATCACCTTCTGTTTGAAGTTCAGCCCAGCTCGGACGCCTCGGCCCTCTGGAAGGTGGCCGTCCGGATCCTCTGCACCAAGGTGACATGAAATGGAGCGTCTGTCTTCATTCCTTTTATCTGGTAGTTGACTGAGGAATATTTAGGAGTTAGGAAATTTCTTGGGTGACTTTCTATCACAGGTCCGCACTGGAATTCACTGAGCTCCTGAGAGCCACTTCAAAAGAGTCTGCCTGACTAGGTGCTTCATTTTTATGCATCTGTGACCCTGGAAGTGATTAAAACTCCTGATTGAAATAATCTGGCAACAATAGTGAATTTGTAGCACTTGTAACATCAACCTTTGCTTAGAGATCTAGATTGGCAGTCCGTGGGATTAAATTCAGAACCTCTGCATTCCATGTGCAATGCCCCAACCACTAGGCCTCCACTCCTCTGTTAGTTTCCCAACATTAAGAATCTCCACTTATCTCCTGGTTAACTTGAAGTTTTCTTTAAAATGAAGCCCTTTAGAGCTGCTGCTCTTCTGTGTCTTGATGGCTTTGGTCGTCTTTTAGATAAACAAGGAGAACGGCACCGTGGAGGCGTCACGCATCATGAACCTGTACCAGTTCATCCAGCTTTACCGTGACATCACTAGTCAGGCTGCCGAGGTGCTGTCTGCAGAAGGAGCCATCGAAGGTCCGTCTGAGCGGCTGTCCTCCACCGACTCCTGCCAGGCCAGCATGTGGATGGGGAGGTCAGTACACGGGGAGTGGCTCTTGCTTCCACTATTTCATAGTGAAATAAAGAGGAGGTGATTCACTTCTATTACATAACGGGAAAGATCAGATTTTTGGATTTCTTTCTAATATTCAGTGTTCAGTCCAGTGCAACCGACTGACTTTAGAAAAATCAGTAAATAGTTTCTAGGAGTGTCAGAGATTGAAGGTTTGAGAACGTTTCCATAATCTGCTTTTATGGAAAAGAAGCAGGAATAAAAATAGGAGAGGCTTCAGTTATTTTTATTTTCTCCATGTAAGGCTGCGCCCAGAGGCGCTCCATGCCTACAGGCTTTCCATGCCGTGTGTTGTTCTGTGCAGGGTGAAGCAGCTGACCGATCAGGAGGAGTGCTGCATCTGTATGGACGGAAAGGCCGACCTCATCCTGCCCTGCGCTCACAGCTTCTGTCAGAAATGCATAGATAAATGGTGAAGCTCCACTTCATGCTGCATTTCGACCATCCAAACCCTTTCAGATTCACATAACCAAACTTTTTTTCCCCTCCCCTGTTTCCACAGGAGCGGGCAAAGCCGGAACTGCCCGATATGCCGCCTGCAGGTGACGGCTGCCAATGACTCCTGGGTGATGTCCGACTTTCCCTCTGAGGATGAAGTAGTTGGATACATCCTGAACCTGGCCGATGAGGCGGGTCACCCCCACAGGCCGTAACACACTGTGCTCTGAGCCAACAAAGTTTCATTTCTGAAGTTTATTTTTTTAATAAAATTCTTATTTTCAGAACATGTTCTTTGGTTGCAACAATAATGGAACACAAATCCCTCCATATTTCTAGAGATACGTCAGACAAAGGTATTTCTGTTCTCTGCAGGTGATGCACTTCAGAATTGGGGAGTCTAAAAACAGCATGAAAATTCCAAAATCTGAGGGAAAACTACTGAAAAGACGTAAAATGATCTGCCTATGCAGCAATATGATTTCCTTAGACAAGATTTATGCTATTAATCTCACAGTGCGAAGATGGACACTTAGAATAATCTATTAGCTCATTAGAGCAGGTAAGTTATCACACACTTTAAAATCTATTTTTGTAATATTAAGAGCAGAGAAATTGTTGCGTGTTAACCCAAAAAGAATGGCATTCCTGCAAACTTCAAACAAGTACTGTGTTATGTTGGCTCAATCAGAAATGTAGAGCAAACAGCTTTAATAGTTTGGAGGAACGTTGGGTTTTTGCAGCACATTATGAAACAAAACAATGAAATAAACTTTCACTGCTCTTTATGACAGCTGAAAAAAACTTATGTAAAAATCTAAAAAGGTGGGAAATTAATGAATATATATACATCCCCAGAGATGGGAAGTAACAAAGTACAAATACTTCGTTACTGTACTCAAGTAGATTTTTCTGATATTTTTACTTTACTTTACTACTTATTTTTATGGCGACTTTTTACTTCTACTCCTTAAATTTTTACACAAATATCTGTACTTTCTACTCCTTACATTTTAAAAAATTGGCTCGTTACTTTAGTTTTGAATCATTTCAATGGAGTTACCGTTATTATTTTATACGTCATCAATACCAAATTCAATCTAATTGGATGGGAATCTACATTGCATTTGACGCAACACTACAAGATGAATCGACAGATTCGGCGGTATTCATTCGCGGCAAATCATTGCAGCTTGGTGGCGGTGGCGTTAGCATAGTAGTATGGACGACGAGATGATTGAAAATGAACACAACGGAGATCTAGTCCTATTGGCAGACATTCATTTAAAATGTAGGCAACGGCATGAAAAAAGTGGTTTCTACTTTTTCTTTTATACTTTAAGTAAATTTACAAGCCTGTACTTTGTTACTTTTACTTGAGTAAAGAAGTTTAATCAGTACTTCCACTTTTACCAGAGTATTTTTTAACACAAGTATCTGTACTTTTACTCAAGTACGGAAAGTGAGTACTTTTGCCATCTCTGTACATCCCTTTATAAAACTTGAACATCTTGGCAAATATAACTTTGCCCATTCCACTGGTATTGCTCGATACAGGAGAAAAGAAACCCTCTCTGTCTATGGTGTGAATTTTGTTCCAAGCAAAGAACACATTTTGCTAATGGAAATTGGGATAAAAAAAAAATACATACATATACATATATATATATATATATATATATATATATATATATATATATATATATATAATCCATAAATTAAACTATTAAAAAGTTGTAATGACATTTTTTTATGTTTTTTTTTTTTTTACATTTTATTAAAAAATAGTTTTCTTTACAGATTTTATTTTTTCATAATTGTTTTCAAATTTAAGTTTTTTCGATTCACTTTTACAAATGTAATTTTTTTCAAATTGTATTTTACAGATCCCCTTCTCAATAAAAATACTCTATAGTCTAGCAGAGCAATAGAAATGCATATTTGCATGTAATATGTAAAATTAAATTTGCAAAGAATGCATTGTTTAATAGTCAACAAAAACACGAAAAGAAACTAAGAACACAGCAAGGTTATTCTGAAATCTTTTTTTTTTTTTAAAGTTTCCTTTCTTGAATGTATTTTTTTTTATGTCAATTTACAACACAGGTTCTTTGCTTGCAACAGTAATGGAACAAAACTTACTCCATACCTGTCATGAATTTGTTTACATTTAAAAGAAAAGAAGTTGTTGCCCCAAATCTAAATCAGATGCTTTCCTGTTTTGATGGATCTCTGAGGGAAAGTTGTTCCATCATGTTTTGTTTTTCCTGTCTGTGAAGCTGTTTGGTAACCCTACATGTTCGGACCCCACACAGCTCCACACATGACAACTGGGACGTGACAATTTAGTTTTTTTGCTAAGATGTTTTCTTTTTTTGCTTCACTTCTGTGTGAAAGGTAAAGATTATTCTAAACCAGTATGAAAATAAAGGAGTGCTCATGATTGTATGAATATGTTTGCAGGAGAAAATCTGCTGTTCTCTGTCCTCCTCCTGTATGTCGAGTTAACAAGTTTCCTTTCAGAGGCAGAAAGTCCTGCTTTGTTGTAGGAGTTGCTGTGATTTACATAGAGAAAAGCCAACCTTAGTTTGAGCTGGGCTGCATCGACCAAGAGGAAGTAATCAAGATACTTTCTTGCCTAAAATTACCCAGATCAGTTTCTGTCTTTGTTCTAGAACAGATCTTAACAAGTTAAATAAAGCAATAATGACTAATAAGTATAATTTTCACACATTGCTATAGCCTCAATGTTGACATCCTTTTAGAAGTGTGCTACTTTCTGGATATTCATGCAACAGTTTTTAAAAGTTCAAAAAAAAATTTATTTCTGTTTACAGTTCCGTCAAGCAGAGAATAATGCTGAGAAACCTTTATCGTTGACTTTTTTTGTTTCTCCTTGGTGAATTATTAAAACAGCTTTATCTTCCAGCACTTTGCTCAACTATTGTCAGATATGTAAATATATACGATAGCCCTATATTGGAAGGTAAACATGTTTAGTGATGTGTTTTTGTTTCATCAAAGTTTTATTGGATTCTTTATTGATATGAATCTTTGACGTTATTGTATTTAAGCAAGTTTTGAATTGAATCACTACGAGCTTTTTTTCTGACTGCATGACAACCTTCTCTTACATTAGTGACCTGTATTATATATTTTTTTTATTTAATCTTGTAAAGTCTTCTTCAGTTTGCACATGACTCTCTGCACATTTTGGACACTGAATGAGTTATTTCTGAAAATAAGATGAGTTTTGGATGTGAGTACAGACTGATCTGGTATCCTGCTGTATTACGTGGTGTTTCCACCTTCAAGTTGTAGCATTAAGAGTAATTTAACTGACTAAAGTGCTTCTTTTTTAGCTGGAGAACCTCTGATGATGTGTAATGACATTACCGCCTTCTTACTGTACTATTATGAATAAACTGATTTTGCACCTAAAGACTTTTTATACTTGTATACTGAAAGTATTTCACATCTGTGGTTGTGTTCTTTATGTTTGGATGCTTATGAACTTATGATTATAAGAAAATTATATTCTTATATACATATCCAGGCTGAAAGAGGTAATTGGAATTTAATGATTATTGGTATAAATGAAAACTAAATTCATATTCAGCTCAAACTGTTAACTGGAGTATACAGACTAAAACATTCTGTTTTCCTGATGAATAGAAACTTGGATCAGATATTAAGCAAAACAGAATATGTTACACGTGTTCAATCAAGATGAAAAATCTCTCTGTAAATACAGGTGCTGGTCATAAAATTAGAATATCATGAAAAAGTAGATTGATTTCAGTAATTCCATTTAAAAAGTGAAACTTGTATATTATATTCATACATTACATACAAACTCATATATTTCAGATGTTTATTTTGTTTAATTTTGATGATTACAAATGACAACAAATGAAAATCTCAAATTCATCATATCAGAAAATTAGAATATTACTGAAGACCAATAAAAACAAAGGATTTATAGAAATGTTGGCCAACTGAAAAGTATGAACATGAAAAGTATGAGCATGTACAGCACTCAGTATTTAGTTGGGCCTCCTTTGGCCTGTATTACTGCAGCAATGCGGCGTGGCATGGAGTCGATCAGTCTGTGGCACTGCTCAGGTGTTATGATAGCCCAGGTTGCTCTAATAGTGGCTTTTAGCTCTTCTGAATTGTTGGGTCTGGTGTATTGCATCTTCTTCTTCACAATACCCCTTAGATTTTCTATGGGGTTAAGGTCAGGAGAGTTTGCTGGCCAATTAAGAACAGGGATACCATGGTCCTTCAACCAGGTACTGGTAGCTTTGGCACTGTGTGCAGGTGCCAAGTCCTGTTGGAAAATGAAATCTGCATCTCCAAAAAGTTGGTCAGCTGCAGGAAGCATGAAGTGCTCTAAAACTTCCTGGTATGTGGCTGCGTTGACCCTGGACCTCAGAAAACACAATGGACCAACACCAGCAGATGACATGGCACCCCAAACCATCACTGACTGTGGAAACTTTACACTGGACTTCAAGCAACGTGGATGAAGTGCCTCTCTTCTTTTCCTCCAGACTCTGGGACCTTGATTTCCAAAGGAAATGCAAAATTTACTTTCATCAGAGAACATGACTTTGGACCACTCACCAGCAGTCCAGTCCTGTTTCTCTTTAGCCCAGGCAAGACGCTTCTGACGCTGTCTGTGGTTCAAGAGTGGCTTGACACAAGGAATGCGACAGCAGAAACCCATGTCTTTCATACGTCTGTGTGTGGTGGTTCTTGAAGCACTCACTCCAGCTGCAGTCCACTCTTTGTGAATCTCCCCCACATTTTTGAATGGGTTTTGTTTCACAATCCTCTCCAGGGTGCGGTTATCTCTCTTGCTTGTACACTTTTTTCGACCACATCTTTTCCTTCCCTTCGCCTCTCTATTAATGTGCTTGGACACTGAGCTCTGTGAACAGCCAGCCTCTTTAGCGATGACCTTTTGTGTCTTGCCCTCCTTGTGCAAGGTGTCGATGGTCGTCTTTTGGACAACTGTCAAGTCAGCAGTCTTCCCCATGATTGTGTAGCATATAGAACTAGACTGAAAGACCATTTAAAGGCTTTTGCAGGTGGTTTGAGTTAATTAGCTGATTAGAGTGTGGCACCAGGGGCCATCAATTTTGAACCTTTTCACAATATTCTAATTTTCTGATATGATGAATTTGAGATTTTCATTTGTTGTCATTTGTAATCATCAAAATTAAACAAAATAAACATCTGAAATATATGAGTTTGTATGTAATGTATGAATATAATATACAAGTTTCACTTTTTAAATGGAATTACTGAAATCAATCAACTTTTTCATGATATTCTAATTTTATGACCAGCACCTGTACACTCCATCCAGAATTGCAAAGTGGTATAGTTTTAGTTTCATCTGGTTTAAACAAAAAATTATATATATATATATATATTTATTAATAATGTTAAGCACTTTATGCTACCTAACTTCTTAATCACTTATTTAAAAAAATACTCATAGTCTTTGTTTTGTGTGTTTATTATATGAGAAGCTGCATTTATTTCCTATGCTCCAATTATCTGGACCAAACTTCCAGAAGACTGTAGAAGCCTTTAGAGTTCAAATTCATTTGTTTAGAACTGCCTTTTAAGTATAATTGGTTTAAGCTTGTGGTCCAACTTTTTGTTTTACTAACCTGCGTTTCTCATGTCTTTATCTGGCATTTTTATCGGCTTTTAATTTTCTTCTATTGTTTAATGCATGTAAAGCACTTTGAGTTGTCTTTGTACTGAACTGTGCTATTTAAATAAACCTGCCTTACCTATATATACTTACATATATGTGTGTGTGTCTGGGGCGGGGTCTATAGACTTTAGTAATTAGTTGTGAGCTTTGACATGAGTTTTGTTTTAGATTATTTTAATTAACAATTCATTACCGTAAAACTGCAATAAATGTTGTTTTTTTTGTTCTTGCAAATTAATTCAGGCCTGAGAAATAAGTTACTGAAAATCTCAGTTTTCAGCTTACCTGATGACATCATTAGCCCATTCTACTCATAATTTTTTTTTTACTTAATTATGTACAATTTCTGAAACTACTCACCTCTAATCTGTATACTACACCTGTACACTAAAGATGTGAGGCAGACACCCTGTCTACTTTTAAGGTTATGCTAAAAACTGAAAAAGCTTAGAGTAGCTCAGGTTACTGTGAGCTATCTCTATAGTTATGCTGCTATAGGCTTAGATTGCTGGAGGACATAGGGACCCCCGTTTCATCATTCTGCTTCATTCTCTATTCTCCCATTCTGGAGTATTTTTCTCAGTTCAGTCCTTAACTTTATGCTCTTTCCACTTTTCTCATCATAGTATATTGATCTGGTCAATTCCTGTTTGGCTGTGACACCATCCCGCAAAAGAAATATGGCCTCAACCATCAATCACCTTTGATTGGGTCTGTTTTTTATTGCTTAGTTCTGCTTCTCTCCTACACACAGGTACGGGCTTAGCTTTTACTCTGGCTAATAGAATCTTCTCTGCTTCATCCCCTTGACATAAATAATGGCTCATATTTCATCTGCTTAACTGTTTCTCTCCTAGATAGAGCCACCTATGGAGATAGTTTACCATTACTTTTTCTAACAGAAACCATTTATAGATCAGTACTTCTGTCTCCTTTAACATCAGTCTGTCTCAACAGATGGCTGCTCACACTGTGCCTGGTTCTGTTGGAGCTTTTTTTTTTTTTCCCTGAAAGTTTTTTTTCCCCTTTAGTGTCGCTGCATGCATGCTTGGCATGAGGGATTGCTGTAATGAGTCAATGCAATCAGCTGTTTTACCCTAAATAGAACATTTTGAATCAATCTGACTGATTTGTCTCTGTAAATTACCTTGAGATGACTTTTTATAATTTTATCTCAAGTAAATTTAACTGAGTAAATATAAGTAGTTACTATCCCCCCCCGAGAGACACATGTTTCACAGACCTGATAGTTATTTTTTTTATAAATGCAATTATGCTCCTGACATCACATCTCTTTTAAGTTATTGCGAAGGCATCTGTTCTTCACCGTTTGCTTTAATTTCGGAACATTAACATTTTTCAGATGCAGTCTGAAACAACAGCTCTGTAGATGCACTCTCAGCTGGTTTGCAACATTTATTTAAATTGTGGAAAAATTTCAGACTAGAAAAACTGAAAAATAATTCATCTTATGAATTCACAGTCGAAATAGTCAAATAAAAGGCTCTATAAATCTAAAGAATTAAGTAAATCTATGCAACAGTGTGAAACAAAATCAATAAAAATACTTTGACAGAACAAGAAGTAGGGTTAATGGTGAAGACGTATTTCCCTCTCTGTTGCTCTTACATTCATTAAAATCATACGAACGAGCCTCTCCATGATAATTGCACAAAGGTATCAAAGAAAAAAATAATAACTTGATATAAGGAAGCACAGAACCAGTGATATCAGCACTGGTGTAAAAGCCTCAAGCAAAGTAAAGAGTTTCTGCACACCGTCTCTACACACACACACACACACACACACACACACACACACACACACACACACACACACACACACACACACACACACACACACACACACACACACACACACACATGTTGTGTCACAATATCCTTGTGGGGACCTTCCATTCATTTCCCACTAATTTATATGGCCTAACCGTGACCTTTGCCCTAACCCTAACCATTACCGACACATACCTATCCCTAAACCTAACCTAAACTCAATTCACACCTTAGTCCTAAACCCAACCCCCACCCCAAGAAGAGAAACTTTGCTTATGGGGACCAGTTGTTGGTCCCCACAAGTACCTATGAGTCCCCAAAATGTAGCATATTCCTAGGAAATTGTCCCCACCAGGTATTAAAGACATGGCCACACACACACACACACACACAAGCACTCAGCATTTAGAAAAAAAACATCAAGGAAACAGCATTTATAGAGATGTGAGCTAGAATCTATGTCCCATCATCTCTGAAGACACATCCCGGCATGGTTTGGACTCATTCGGTCTCTGACTCTGGAATCATGGCAGCATCAGTTTTCACGGCGTCCACCAGAAAACTGAGTTCATTACACAGCGTCTCGTGGCGGTAGGCCAAGCGAATCTGCGCCACGTTGGTCCGACGGATGTCATTGCCCTCTGGGCCGTCTTCTAAGTAGTTGGGACCAAGAAAGTGTTTTTTCTCCTGTGGGTTAAAAACATGCAGACCATGAATGCATGTATATATATTACAGTTATTGTTCAGAGAAATTACAACTATGGAGTGAATTTTGTTCCATTATTTAATCTCTAACATTGCTGTTTTCTCCGATTTTCTTTTTGAAAGTATTTTTCTCAATCCTTTCTTCATATTTTATTGTTGAACATTTTAGAGATTCTGCTTTTCAAATTTTATTTTCTAATTCATCCTTTTTAGATTTTGTTATAGTTTTGTCTTTTATTTTCTTCCATATTTTCTTCTTTTTACATTGTATTTTTATTTATTTTTTCAAATAAAATTTTTCAAATTTATCTGTTTTGGGACCAAGTATCATCTTCTTTTCAAATTGAATGTTAGCATCAATATTTTTATCGGTCAAGAAGAGCATTTTGATTCGGCTTGAAGTGAAGATAACGTGATCCATGAAGCACATTTGAAAAGAATATAATTAGTGAAACTTAACCTGAAAAGGAGTAATTAAAAAAAGAGAAAATATAAAATCTGTGAAAAAAATATAAAATTGAAAACTGGCATTTTATAAATTGATGTACATTTCCTTTTTCTAAAAAATCTGAGAAACTAACAAAGTTAAACTCAAAAACTTTTCTATTGCAAAAATTTTTCCAAAGTTTCATTTCTGGATTGCATTTGTAGATAAATTTCCAATTACAAAAAGTATTCTTTGCTTGCAACAATAATGGAATAAAATTCACTCCATATTGGTCAGATCAACCATATGAACATTATTTATATGTTTTAAAGTGTCCAGATAGTAAAGGACCTTTTTCAATAATATTTTTTTCAATGTGGGCTCATTTCAAAATAGTTTACTAATAAAAGACATCAAAATAACAAAAATATACAATCTGAATGAATAGATACAACTTTCAAATTAGTTTTCACTTTATTTTGTCCATTTTTTATTTAAATGGAAAAAAGAAAAATAAAGAAGAAAAATTATAACAAACCCTAAATAGAAGATCTCAAACAGATATGACTAAATTTGGTACTTTGTGTCATTACATTATATAGTTTTTAATAAACTGATGTGCGTTTAAGCCTCAGTTTCTTGGGCTGTCGCTTCATATCAACTACCGTAAAATAATATTATACTCTAATACAAATTATTCAAAATAAATACATTTAATCATGAAGTAAAACAAAACACATACATAAAAGACAATATAATAAATACATAATTCTTAAAATAAAGCAAAAATAAAATAAGATAAACATTTATTTATTTAGTTTTACTTCATGATAACATGTATTTATTTTATAAGAACTTCATTCATATTTGATCAATGGTAGCATTTATTTATTTATGCATGTATTAATTGATTAAATTTAGAATGAAATGGGTCTCTATTATATGAAGCCCTATGTGTCCAGTACCAGCGCTGGACACAAGATGGCAGTCTATGTGCTGTCTATAACAGGTAATCAAGTCCAGAAGCTTTAATGATATTTGTAGCATTACTATTGCCTTTATTAATGTAAGGGTCTTGAAAGCTTCTTAAAAACATTGTTGAGTTATTTCCCTATTCTTGTTTATATTCAGGCACCTTGTTATTAAGCAGAGATCTGAAACAGACAAAACTAAAGCGGCCTTTCTTTACCTGATGTGAGAGGCCGCTCTGCAGGACGCTGTTCCTGGCAATCTCACACAGATCACAGGTGCTCAGCTTCCACAGCTGTGCTGCTATGGCGTACTCCTCCATCAGGGCTTCCTGGAGTTGTATTTTAAAATAAGATTAGCTGCTAGATAATTAAAGGACAAATGATAATGGTATATTAGTGTGATGACATGTAGGACCTTAGTGTAGTGGAACTGCATGGGATCATCCGTGGACAGAGACACACACAAGCCTTTGTGAAGAAACTCTCGCAGTGGGTTCTTGGAGTACTGCAGGAAAAGGCTGTTGTTGCTCAGTGGGGACATGGCGATCGGTACCTGGGCCAGGTAGTACAGGTACTGCAGCACCGGACTCTGTGAAGGAGCAGGACTAATCAGTACACCTTAGTAAAGACAACTTCAATTATTTGTTTCCTCTGTATAAAGAGTTAAACAGGGGTTTGCAGCAATTCGGTTCATAAGCATAATGGTCATGCCTTATGTACTGACGACCATGTGTTGACTTCCATTGTTTTTTAGTCAAAGTAACACCATGCCCTAAACCTGACAGTAACTTTAAATCTAATCATTACCAGAGCGTGCATCACCCTAACCTTAACCTAAACTCGATTCACACTTCAGTCCTAGCTGTTAGTTAAACAGGAAATGCCCTCACTTTGTTATAATTGGTCCTCAATTTGATAATAAAACTGCGAAAAAAAAGATCCACACTGAAATGTGGACCTGAAATGCTCCAAACAGCTGAAACTGTTTTCCTTGTCCAAACAACCTGAACTGTATGTATCTATTCAATTTAATTCAGTTTATTCATTCACAACATGTCATCTTAAGTCACTTTACAGTTCGTCAGATCATACAGTGATTCAAAGTTTTCTATCTAAGGATCACCAGTTGACTGACTAATTGACTCAAAGGCAATCCCTTTCACTAAGCTTGCTCGTAGCGACAGTGGAGTGACAAAACTCCCTTTTAACAGGAAGAAACCTCCAACAGAACCAGGCTCAGTGTGAGCGGCCATCTGCTAAGGCCGACTGGGGTTCAAGGAGACAGAAGCGGAGATACAAAAGGCAGAGCACAGCCAGGCAGAACAAGCTCCGAGCCAGCTGTCAGAGGATGAAGAGAGCACATCCAGCCAGTCACAGTCAGAGAAACAGGACTACACTGAAAAACAGGCTGATCTCCAATATCTATAAACAAAGGCTGTGACACTTTCCTTCAAAGTGCTAAGCAATATGTAGCAACAGGCTGGGGAGGGGTATTTATTCAATATTCTGTCCTGCCAAGAAAAGCTTCCAGGTTTATTAATTATCATGCCATTAGGTTTGCACCTTCTTGAGGTTGAGTCCATGGGAAATGTTGTCTGCTGTCAGGAAAGCAGAGACCAAATGGGTGATGGAGCCCGCCTCTCCACAGTGGGGACGAAACTGGAAGGTGTTCATCCCTCGCTCCCTTTGGAGAGAGACATATTCAGGTTACTATTTTAAAAACTCAATGCAATCAGCCTCTGTTTGTATGATTTGGTTTGCCAAACTGTCACTGCTGTTTATGAGGCCCTCATTATGCCTGTTTTATTGAAGGAAGCTGAACTGGGAAGAAGAGAAGAGCGGCTGGTTTTCAGTGTGAGCTGCATTCAGCACAATCACTTATTTAACTATGGAGTGAACTTTGTTCCAGTATTGTTTCAAGCAAAGAATATATTTTGTAAATGGAATTTGAAAGAAGAAAGAAAGTATTTTTTATACAAGTAAATTTGAAAAGATCAGCATCCAAAAAAGAAACTTTGAAAACCTAATGAAAAAAAATGTTTTGAAAGTAATTTTCCTGTTTTCTCAGGTTTTTTTTTTTTGTAATTGTGTTTTTCAAATGTTATTAATAATTTTTTTTTTTTTACAAATGTTATATTTTTTGTTTATTTTTAGATTAAAATAATTTATTTTTTTACAAACTACATTTTAAAACTCACATTTCACAGTTCTAAACAATTAAATTAAACATTTTTTTTTTTTTTGTAAAATTTCCATTGAAAAAATCTGTTTTTTTTGCTTTCAACAATAATAGAACAAAATTAACTCCATATATTTAATAGATCAAATAATAAACCAATTCTCTTCACCAGTTAATGCACTTAAAATGTCTCTTTAAAATAGGGCGTTCTAAATGTTTTTTTTTCTTCTGACTTTTAATAATACAGCTGTTGGAGATCACATATTTCATTAGCTGCTGTAGTTTAATCTTCCTTATGTATAAATGCTTACAGTCAGCAGCTACCGTAGTTTAAAAATGCCAAGAGCCAGAGGGACCAATCATAATTCCACTCTCCAAAGTCGTTGTCACACTAGCATCAGGGGTTTATTTACTCAGAAGGTAACAGCTATTTATTGTACACAGGAAATATGCTGTAGATACAAGGCGTTACTTCACCAGTTACTGTCTTGTTGAAACTGGCAATGAGAGCTAAATATTTGGTTTTGATAAATGTAATTTCACCCTTGATAGCGTCTTTATAGGGTTACAGAAATGCTTTTCATGTTCTGTTCACGGTGTGTTTCACACAACCAGATCATTAACGGTGAAACCTGTCTTTCATTCATTTCCTCTGTACACAAACATCAGCTTCTGTGTCAATAAGCTTTGAAAGGAAACAACAATGTTTACATGAAGTAGGATATTTCTGAATTTTGCCAAAGGTTCATATGTGTAATAAATACAAATACAAGCAGTTTTATTTAAAACTGGGAATTAAAGTACACTCCACAGGCATTTTGAACATTTCATATATACAGATTCAATACCATTAGGTCACCACGCTGACTCCATTTTTATGCTCCTGTAGCTTCTCCCCTACTCTCCAGTCAAGTTTACTAAATTTTTTTTAAAACAAGATCTCTTTAAAAACATTTGCTTGTCTCTTTAAAGTGTATAAGAGCTCCCAAATGTATCTTTGATGACCACTGATCTAGTGGACTTACTTGCGCAGGTTGTTGAGCACCGTGATGTTGGCGTACATATAGAAGAGGTAATAGGTGTATGGAGGGTTATCGTCTGCGGTCCACTCCTCAGGCTTCGGGCTTTTGTGAGAGAACATGTGGTCGCTGTGTTTGGACTCGTCGTCCACGCTGTCAAACCCGGTCACCTGCGGGGGCAACATCACAACCATGTCAGTTCATTGGTTCCACCAGAGGTGGAGGAAATATTTTACACCTTGTTTTCCTAATGAGCAGGTTTTGCAGAAAGACGTACATATCTGAGGAACACATGGATTTTCTTGTGCTTTTGCGGGTTGATGGTAGCCTCAAAAAGTGGAAGGAAGATGTTCCCGAGCATCTTGGCAAAGTTGGGAACCAGTTTCTTTGACTTGAAGATGTCACTGAAAGACAAACAATATTTAATGTACCTACCTTGACAAATGAACAAAACAAAACACAGTTAATCTTGAGTTTCTAAATGATAAGACCTCCTAAATGTTCAGTCCTAGGTGCTTTTAGCGTGTGAAACTGTGTTTCGCTCTACGTATTAGACCGGGTGCTTACTAGATCCGTGGAACCTGGATCATCCATCTCATGTTGGGAGAGTGGACCTTGTGTTGGATGAACCACGATGCCAGGTTCTCCCACTCGCTGGCAGATCGGCCGTAAATCGACAGACGGGGCTCAGCATGCTGATACTTGCTCTCCTCCAGATCTGCAGCCACTTCCTGAAGCAGAGAGACAAAACCATACAGGAAGCTGGTGAAGCTTTTAGATAAAACAGAAGTGAGTGCTTGCAATGACTCAGTACATAGAAAAGCAGCAATGCAACAACACTCTGCTATGTGTTGCATTGCTGAAATATAACCCAGTGGTCAATTTCTCTAAACCAGTCTTCAAACTTATAAAGACTAGAGTACATTTAAGGAGCATTTCACCTAGAAATAAGACCTTTTCATGTTAAAACCAGTGTGTTGATGTTGGGCTGGAGCTAAAACCCTCCAGACAATCTGAATTTTAAAAGTGTTGTTTTTTGTTTTTCATTTCATGTTTTCAGAATCAGAAAAGCTCACAAGGGCTCATTCATGGAAGGGTGCAAACATTAACCTGTTATCACCCCTCTTCTCTCTACTTCACCAATCAGGGACTGACTTTCTGGCAGTTGGTAAGTGTTGTTACAAAGAAAACTGAATCAATTTGACTGCATGATCTGGTGAACTGTAAAGTGCTTTGAGATGACGTGTTTTGAATTTTTGCCTATTGTTGAAGTCTGTGTCTGAATGTTTTCCCTAATCACTATATAGTGGGTTTGCCTTTTTAGATGAGTATCCAAAAGTCTAGTGGATAAAAAAGCAGTGGACTTGAAACTTCCCACAGTACACCTTGAAAAGTAGTGGTCACTAGACAAGCAGATATATCCCAAAATGCTTTGTTAAAAAAATCTTAAAAATCATCCCCCTTCTTAAATGACCATCCCCCCATTCCATCTCCTGTGACATTTTATCACTGAATGTGTAAATTTCTATTATATATTAACAGTAATGGCAATAATATTGCCTTTTCAACATTTGGCAGGCTGTGCTTCTAAATAAATAATGTAAATTACGGTGGCCCAGCGGGCACATGCGATTCTATTTTCAACCTCAGTGTTCTGAACAGCATCACTGCCAAGCGACAAAGACAACGGGATTTGAGGGACTAAAGCAAAAACTAAAACTTCAGGTAAGTCAAGATTCAGAAGACAATACCTTTTATAAGCTTACCATTGTTTCACCAAATATGTAGAAGTCCTAATCTCTGGACAAAGCGATAGCATGCAAAACCAGATAAACGAGTTTGAAGCGCAAACATTTTTCTGTCTTTAAAGTTCTCATGACAAAAGAGAATTAGCGCAAAGTTTACAGGCATTGCTGAACCTTCAAAATCTGAATTTTGGTTGTGAATAAAACATAAAATGAATCTGTAGACCGCTGCTGTTTTGCTAGATGACAAAATACAAGAATCTACAAGATGTTGGTGAGACAAGTGGAGCTTTGGCCGAGAGCAGTGGAGGAAACCCAGAGGAGAGAATTAAAGGTTTGGAAAATGCATTCTAATTAAGCAATTTTATTAAGATTATTATCTTAATCGAATTGCCAAATGTGATGTTAATGTCTGGCCAATGGTCATAAATTAATTGAATGTTGACATCTGACTGCAAAGTTTCTCTTGTGACTTGCAGAATGCCTGTTGTCCGATCAACAGAGATGGCAAAAGTACTCACTTTCCGTACTTGAGTAAAAGTACAGATACTTGTGTTAAAAAATACTCTGGTAAAAGTGGAAGTACTGATTAAACTTCTTTACTCAAGTAAAAGTAACAAAGTACAGGCTTGTAAATTTACTTAAAGTATAAAAGTAAAAGTAGAAACCACTATTTTCATGCCGTTGCCTACATTTTAAATGGATGTCTGCCAATAGGACTAGATCTCCGTTGTGTTCATTTTCAATCATCTCGTCGTCCATACTACTATGCTAACGCCATCGCCACCAAGCTGCAATGATTTGCCGCGAATGAATACCGCCAAATCTGTCGATTCATCTTGTAGTGGTGCGTCAAATGCAACGTAGATTCCCATCCAATTAGATCGAATTTGTTATTGATGACGTGAAAAATAATAACGGTAACTCCATTGAAATGATTCAAAACTAAAGTAACGAGCCAATTTTTTAAAATGTAAGGAGTAGAAAGTACAGATATTTGTGTAAAAATGTAAGGAGTAGAAGTAAAAAGTCGCCATAAAAATAAGTAGTAAAGTAAAAATATCAGAAAAATCTACTTGAGTACAGTAACGAAGTATTTGTACTTCGTTACTTCCCATCTCTGCCGATCAATGGTAAATAGTTTAGTTTGACAAACCCATTAGGATAGTTTTAACTCATTCATCGCCAGCATGTAGTCTAGCTTACTTTAAATTAGCCAATAGAAGCATACTGATTTTCTAATAAACAGTCTATTTTGTAAAATAAATCCTCTAAATCAGAGGTCTTCAATGTTTTCTAGGCCAAGGACCTCCAAACTGGTGGTGAGATGGAGCGGGGACCCCCTAATTATATATATATTGTATGAAATTGTGTTATATCAAACTGGTCCTATAGTCAATCTATTACATATGGAGTAATGTAATGAAAATAATTTCTACCTGGGATTATTAAAGTGTTTCTGATTCTGATTCCTGGTTGATGGGACAGGTGTTGTGAATGAAATGGTGCCCAGATTGAAAGAGCTCCTGTGTGTCGCTGAATGTGTGCATTGATGACTGAAAGGCATCTTCTGCCTCCATTTATCTGTTTACTACAGTGTGTTGAATTCATGTTAATGTGGATTTAAAGACATTTCAATTAGTGGTAAAAATTGCAGGGAGGAATATAAATAAGTCTAATCAATTGAAACTTTCGCAACCCCCATGCAGTACCTCTGTGGACCCACTAGGTTGTCACGGACCTCCTGTTGATGACCTGTGTTCTAAATGAATATTTGAAAGGTGAGTAAAATTATTAGAATTTATACAGGTTTATTTCATTTTATTTTTGAATGTATATGAATTTGTAAGCAGTTTCTTTTAATATTTTGAAAATTGTTTCAGTTTCTATTTAATTAACTGAATTTGAATAAAACTTGAGTGGAGTGTTTAGTGAGGTTTTGTTCCAGATCTTAATACATTCATTGCCAAACGATTTTCCAAAGTAAAATCAAAGAAGTGTCCTACCATGCATGTTGCTTATTTCACCCCCCCCCTTTTTTTTTTTTTTTTTTTTTTTTACAACTCGACTACTGTCTATATAGCCCCAACTCCATATAGTGGATGAGAGGTTAGGGATCAGAAGGGACCAATTTCAGAAGGATCTTTTAGCTAAAATACCAGGTTATGACTCCATAAATTAACTCTAGATGCGCCTTTCCTTTCATGAGTCCACAAAATGCATACCAGAAAATAATTATTTACCTAGACTTTCCTTTATATAGGACTTAAAACAAGTGGACACATGACAAGATGAGGGGACTAAAGTTAAATCTAGAAAAACATTTATCCTAATGTTTTTGCACACATCTTCACCAGGGATGAACGGAAACCCTTCCAGATTTTTTGATATTGAATGAAAACACAGCATGGTTGAATGCTCTTTTTGTGTGATTTTACTAACCTTAACAAGACGTGCAAAGTACTCTCCATCTATGTAGTTGTCCGTTTTCAAATAAATCTCCCGCAGTTCACTGGCTCCAACAGGGTTGTACTTGGAGTTGAACTTGTCAAAGCGGTGGAAGGTTTGTCTCCCCTGCAAATTAGAACAGATGCTGTTTAAGATATTTCCTCTTTTAGTGTCACACCGACCATTTAAAAAAAAACACAAAAAAAAACAGAATAAATAAACAGCAGACATGATATCTGTTTAAGCTTCATTTTTACCTCTTAAAATTCTCATATATTATTTTTTCAAATCAAATTTCTCAATTTTTTTGAATTTTTTTATCATAAATTTTATTTTCTCATTTTATTTATTCAAACTAATTTTTTTCAGAATATTTATTTTCAATTTTGTTTCAAATTTCAGTTTTTCAGATTGAGTTTTAAAAACTACATTCTTTACAAATTGGGTTTAATAGATCAAATTCAAGCTTCAAGCCCAATAATAACTCGCTCTTGATGCGCACATTGGGGCAAGACAAGGTCACTGCAGATGAATAGAAATGTGTCTCCTCTGCCTTATTTCAGAGGCACAGTTGGAAAAGAAACAATGTGTAAAAGTCTGCAAAACAGAAAAATTTGAGAAAAAAAAAATCTGTTAAAGACTGTTTTGAAAAAATAATGGGAAAATCAAAATAATTTTTTATGTCTTATTTTTGGATTGCATTTCTTACTAATTTTAATTGATAAATGTAATTTTTTTTTTCAAATTTCCTTCAGTGAAACATGTTCTTTGCTGGTGACAATAAAGGAATAAAATTCACTCCATTTATAATGTGCATGTTTCAGCTATTTTCAGAAGTTTCAACTCTTACAGCATGTACGTCCAGGGAATCCACAGTGAGGTCATAGGGGTTCATGTTGAGTTTCTTAAAGACTTCTGTGAGAGTCATCTTCTGACCGCCTTTCACCATGACCACACGGTCCGCATCTGTTTGGCATGACATCTTAATGAATCTCAGCAAATGCCGCTGGTTCATGCAGGCAGCAGCATGTATATGTGTGTCCACCTAAGTGTGATGAAACGGGAGTTAGCAATGTGAGCCCTTCAGTTCACAGATAACAGCTTTTATCTGTGAACTGTTGCTTTAAGAGTATGGAAGCTGGACTCAGTATCAAGACTAGAGACCAACCTTTCTGACGTTGTAGAAATCTCTATGGGGGACACTTTTTAGCTCCTTCATCTCTGCCATTTCATTCATCATTTCATGGAGGTAGAATTTAGATTCCAAGAAGTTCAGTCGTCTGTGGCAGTAGGTTTTCCTGCAAGGCGACACCAGATTAGGGGAAACATCTCATGTAAGAGCAGTGAACCTGCACTCTGGTTCCCTGAGCAGAGACCCTTAACCCCATGCTGCTCCCTGGGGCGCCACACCGTGGCAGCCAACTGCTCCTCAAGGGGATGGGTTAAATGCAGAGCTGAATTTCTCCAATGTGAGATCCATAAATTTCAATAAAGTTTTTCAATAAAAGTGTTGTTGGAAATCATGAGAAACTAGTTTAATAACTAATGGGATGTTTACAAGGAAAATGTATGTACACATAACTGAAAAGCAAATCTATTTATCTGGTCTCACCAGACCAAAGAACCTGATTCCATGAATCTGTGTCCTCAGTCTGCTTGTCTTCAGACCCGTTTGATATAAGCACTGGTCGACTGGCCCTCCATCCCTTCATATTCTGTAGCAGGGGGGCACTTGACAACATTTGGTTGACCCTGGTGAGGTCTGTTCTGATTGCAACCTCCTTTGTTAAACATTTGCTTGGTCTTGACCACAAAATGGAATCAATTTAACTAAAAAAATACTCCATTAGAGGATGATATTCTAATAATAGCCCAAGCCAGGGATGGGCAACTCTGGCCCTTAAGTGTCCAACAACATTTAGACATGTTTGTGCTCAAACACACCTGAAGTCATCACATGATTTTACCTTTGCACTTTGTAAAAACGTTAAAGGGTACTCACGTTGGCCCATCGGCTAACATTGCGAGTACGTGGCTCAAATCAATGGTGAAGCTCAAAAGGTCAGGATAGGGCAGGCCGATGGGTTGCTCTTGCTTCAGGGCCTCAAGGTTGTCATAAACATTGACTATGCCATCCTTCATCATCAGCTCATAGTTCAGGTTCTCAGGAATACCTTCCATTGAGAACGGATCCTCTCCTTCACGAGGGTAGGGGCAGATTTCTGAGGGACATCAGTTAAAGGCGTTATCTTGGACTCATAACAGACATCATAGCAGCAGAGTAACAGCTTGTCTGCAGTCTTAGCTGCAGTGAAAGATTCTATGCAATCAGCTGAGTTTCCTTTGATAGAAAACCAGATCTTTAACCAAATAGGATTTCATTGTGAGATGCCTTGATATGACGGGTCTGAGTTCAAACTGAATTAACTTGAGATGCTCATTGTTAGAAATGTTACAGTTGAGGTTTAGAAAAAACAACAAGTCAGTAAACGTAAAAAATTGTGTTTGTTTTTTGTTGTGAGGATAAAAGTCAAATTGTTATGAATAAGTATTATAAACTTACAAATGTGGAAAAATACAAGTTCAAATCACAAGTTTACAACTCGGAATCTACAACCCCTAACAATGCTGCTACACTCCGTACCAGTCGGTGGCGGTATCGCACCTAAAAGTTTTTGGACGAAAAAAGAACCATTAATCTAACATTATGCTGCGCCCGTGTTTTAAAAAAGCAACAGTCCAGCAAATTGTAGTATAAATATAAAGTTAAATCTATGGTTTTGTTTTTCTTCTTCTAGTTTAATAGCAATTGGCAACCGACCTTCAGGTGCTCTACCACCACCAATTGGTAAGGAGGGCAAAAGTTTATCTGGGGTTGTAGAAAAGAATGGAATTCAACTTTTTATGTCATTATACTGTATCAAGTGCAAAACACTGAAATTAACTCCCCTCATTTAACCCATCGCCTTGGCGAGCAGCGGGCTCCCATTGCGTGGCACCCGGAGAGCGGTTTAAGTTAAGGGTCTTGTTCAGGGACCCAGAGTGCAGGCAGTGGGGATCAAATAGGGTACTTGCAGCCTTCTCAGAGCACAAGTGCACTGCTTCAACCACTAGGCCAACACACCCCAATGCTTGTACTCTATGTTTAAATTTGTAATTCATAGTTGTATTTTTGCAAACTTTTAACTTCCATTGATTAATTGTTAAACTTCTTTTCTCATAGATCTTATCTCACAGATCACACATCTGATGTCACAGCTGTGTATGAGCTGACAACAAGCCAATAGAAATATGAAATTTATTCATATTTGCAGACTAACATTTACAAATTCGGACACCTTTTGTTGACAGTTATGTCACTCCAAATCTGACTTGATAAGGTACTTAACTGTACAAAACTAAAAAAGTACAAACTACTGTAATGATGTTGTAGCGGAAATTTTCACAAATAACTCGAAAGAAATCAAGCAATCTCCGCTTGACTCCCCCTCTGGGATTCTCCGAACACTTCTTGTTTGAGTTGCTGCATTCCCTATCAGCCTCAACCATTTAATAGTACGACAATCTTTAGTTGTAAGAATATAAAATATCTGTACTTATTTTGAGGGTGGTGTTGAATCAAAGTAAAAAGCTAGAATTCACAGAACCTCTGAGAGAGGTTCATAAAAGTTAATAGAATCTGTCTCCATGCAGAGTTGTTTTTTTTAATGCTCTGTCCATTAGATAATTGGAAACAATTGAACAGAGGTTTTTTTTTTGACAGGTAAGAAAAATAATCATGCAATATTGTGCATTTGTATCAAAATTTAATTTTTACTGTTTTGCAAGACAAAAACAAGCCAAATGTCAGTGCATTTGTCCTTGCTTTCACACTTCTGCCCCTGTAAGAATAACCGGACTTGCCCTGTCTAACACTCACTTTACACTGACCAGAGAGGCGGTTGAAAATAGCAGTAAGAGATACCACTTTGCATTTTGCCTTTACATGTAAACCTAGGAAACACACGCTTAAACTGACAGTGACTGCATCTCCAGATCACCCATTTTTAATGAGAAAAAAAAAAAAACATACCTGGCAGGACCTCATCCTCCTCATTCCACTTCATGTTCTGTGCAGTGCGAAGGAAGCGGGCTGCGGTTCTGGGAAAGCGATGGAATGCCAGCCTGGCATATTTCTCTCGGATGGTTAGGGCTTTAAAGAGACTCATAGCAGCTTGCTCATAATCCTCAACCGTGATCTGGAAACATTAAGAGTTTTTCATCATGAGAAAAAGCTTTACTCAGCACTAAGAGGTGGATAGAGCACCTGAAACTTACCCCAAGTACAGGTAGCATTACTGGAGTAAAAGTAAAAAGAACCCAACCAAGAAATGACTCAAGTAAGAGTTAAAATGTATTTGGCGCAAAGGATAAATATAAATATGATTAATTATTTAAACTAATGTATAAAAAAAAGGGAGAAATATTACAATTTTTTTTTTTTTTTTTTACAAATTCTTCTATTTTAAAGAAAGGATACATTCAAGCATAAGAAACTATAAAACTATAAAGTACTATACTGAAACTATAAATGCTTTTTTTTTTTTTTTACATATATTGTATGAAACCAGTTTCTAGAGTAGGAAAGTACTGACAAACGTATCGAACATACAGAATAAAAGTGTTTATTCATTGAAGTTACTCGCGTGGGGTAGCAAAGCCAGAAATCTAACTCAAGTAAGACTACTCCTGAAAGTACTTTTTTGGGAAGTTACTTAAGTAAATGTAACTAAGTAAATGTTACTAATCACCTCAGTCAGTAAGACAATGAGAATAGTGATAACAGATTTTTTTTTTCTGGCTGTCCTTTCATGCTTCAAAGCAGAAAATGCATAATCCAGCATGAGTACTTGCTGACTTATCCAGTTTTCTTATTATTATGTAGACAGGCTGCAGCTTGCTTTCTTAGAGTATGCGGATCTTAAGCAAACAAAATTGAAAAAATATTGTATTTCCTCATGTATAATAAAGTTTCTTTCAATTTTCCTTCTATTTTAGTTTAGAGGTAGGGGAAAATATGTTTAGAAACTGCCAAATGTAAACAGAAGTAATTTGAAAAGAGATATATCTAATTATAGTACTAACCTTAAGCTTAATTCTAATTACAGTACCTTTATTCAGTTGGGTAACATTAGCGAGGATAGAAATTGAACTTTACTGATCTCACAATGGAGAAATGGGGAGCAGTGGGCTGCCATTGTGCGTCCCCCGGGGAGCAGTGTGGGGTTAAGGGTCTTCTCGGGGACCCAGAGTGCCGGCTGTGGTACTTGCAACCTTCTCAGGGCACCAGCGCACTGCTCTAGCCACAAGTCCAACACTCCCCCATGCATTCCTGACATTACTTTGTCTAAACGCTGTTTTCCCAACAGGAAAGCCCTTCCTCTTCCTCTCTGCCGTCCCACAGTGCTAAAGCAGGTAGAATAAAGCTTCTCATCTGATTCCTCCACTGGTTTTCTGTAAAATTGTTCGTTGGACCATTTCTGTGTTAATTTGATCTGATGTTTGAAACATGATCACAAGCGGTACCCATTCCCTCTTCCTCTCTTCTTGGTGGCCTTTAAAAGCTCTGAAGAGTATTTGGCCTAAATATGTTTTCATACGTATAAAGTATCCCGACCCCTCAGGTCACCAGAAATCTGAGCTTTCTGGTTTCCCAAGATCAGAGCTAAACAAGCAGAGGCTTTATTTACAGTAGTTTCTATTATACATAGGAGCGCAGAAACAAATTCCCACAGAACTTGTTTGGTATGGCTTTTACATTTGTCTTTTTTTTTTTTATTATTTAATTTTGTCACACTTTTTACTCTTCTATTGTTGTTGTTTTTTACTGTTTTAAACATATTCTTGCTGGTTTCCTTCATCTTTTCTGTTAAGTCTTTTAAATTAAGTAGTGTAGGAATGATGCTTCACAAATATAATGAAATCCTTAAGGTCAAGGAGAAAGATCCTAGCCATGCTTAACAATGTGCATAATATGTTTTTCCAGTACCTAGAAACATTTCTTTCCATTAATTTCAAAGTAATTGTTAGAGAACAAATAACCTGTGGTATAAAGGATGTTTCCTAACTTTCATTAAGTCTGTGATTATTCTTCTGTAACAAATACAATAAATATTTTAAATGGATAATTAATATGCATATTTTATTTGGAATGTATGTATTTCCAATGTACTGTTAATACAGTACTGTAAACTTACTGTTTAGTTTTAATGAATTGAAGTAGAACATTGTCCAATAGATGCCATGTTGTTTATGTTACAATGCATTTTTGGTAAATGATGTATGCTAGGTCCTTTAGCACTAACTCCATCCAGTAATGTAAAATGTTAAACCTTTTCAGTTTGAACAGGTGTGTTGAAGTTGATGAGAATGTAAAAATCAAAAAAGGTGAGGAAGATGAGAAGGACCAATGAAGCCACATAGAGAGCTATGCTACGAAGAGCTCTGATTTCTAACTGAGGGTGTTTACAGTTAGCATCTGTTGGGCCATAAACCATGATAATAATTTTGGACATTGAGAACCAATGTATCATCTTAACATGTTCACTCCACAGTGCTGCACAGTGCTGACTTGGCCTTTCAAAGCTTCTGCAAACCTTCCCCAACTGACTCTGCAGGACACCTTCCACAGAGGTTGAGACCAGTATAAGACCACAGCACATAGGATTTCTTTCTCTTTCCATCAAGGTGCCCTGGGATTCACAGCTGAAGAGAGACAACATCATGCCAAGTCCAAGGCCCAGATCTACAGAATGACCAAGGCTGGTTGACATTTCATAACCAAGCTGCTGCAAAATATAACGTTTGTAACATTTTGCTCTGAGTTTCAGAAGTTATAGACCCGGACTGGAGGTGAAACCCTCCTAATGACATCGTCCCTGATGTGTGGCTGGAAAAAGGGAAACCTCCTTTCTGTGATCCTGCCAAGCTGCCAACTGCTGGAGGAAACACAAACTTTCCAAAACGGACATGGGAATCATTTACCTGAAGGTTATTGGTTCCAGATTAAGCAAATCATTCAATAAAACAATATTTGGCCAAATAATGTTTTATTCGCCTCATAGATTTGCTTTTAAAAAGTCAAAAGCTAATTTGCTCACATCCCATATCTATGATCGCAAACACAATCCAGCTAAACTATTATCTGCTTTTCCACCATGTTGCACAACAGCATCTGTATCAAACCTTTCCTCAGATATATTACAATGATGTTTTACAACAACTAAGAGATGCTTCACTGTTACTTTAAACAGCTGTTCATTATCTTCTGATCTGGTTTTAATTTCATGTTAGCCATTGCCAATTGTGTTAGCTGTAGCTAAAATAGAACAGAGTAGATAGACGTTCACATTTGTCTGTTTTAGATATCTCACGTATAACGGCTCATGAAAACTTTGAGGGAGAGATGAAATTTACATCACTCAAACTCAGTACAATAAAAAAAAAAACAATTTTGTTAACCTTCCTGTATTTATTCCGTAGGATCCATTCCAGTTAGACCTAACCGCATCACCAACCCAGGATGCATTGCACAGGTGAAAAAATGGCGACCAGCATGGGTGGAAATATAATAAATGATGTACGTTTTTAAGTAATTATGATTTTTTTACATATCAAATATTTATTTTATTTATTTATTTAAGCCATCTTTAACTAGTCGTAGATCAATTTATAGATCTTAAAAGGAATTTTATTGATTGTGGTTTTATCTGGAATAATTAATCTTTCACTAATCTGCCTCCAGAAAATAAATAATTGAAATTGTCCCTCATCTTTTTTCCTATTGACCCCAATCTTTAAGTCAGATTGTTTCTGGTTTAAATCTTAACTACATATTTGATTAAGTATTACACACCCCAGCACAGTAATCCCCACTGATGGTGACTCTCTGGAAGTCTGGGAAGTTATCTGAGGTAAAAGTATCGTCTGCTCCTGGGGTGGGCACGGGAGAGGCCTTCCAGTCATCGGGAAACTGTAATGATATGGACTTGGAGCGCTTCAGCAAAAAGGTCTTCTTCCTGAAACACAGAAGTAAATCACATGACTCCTCTAACAAGGTAGAAGCAAACCCTTAAGGTCATAAAACTAGAAGTTCCCACTTATGGATATGGCTAAAATAAATGTTGCCAAACACTGATCCGTGCTGTACCTCTTAACTGATTCCTGAGAGTGCTGCTCAGCCAGCTCCTTTTGCAGCTCTCTTTCCCGGTCCTCATGCAGCCCGATGGGACAGTCCTCCGGCACATTGAACAGAGCCATGGCATCCTTGGTGTCTTCCTGTCTCAGTGCAGAGGCGTACACCTTCTCTGCCATCAGCCGAACTTTCTCATCTGCCACGCTCATGGATATTTTTGGGAACAGCCGCTGAATGTCTGGAAAAAATAATTTTGAGTGTGTATTTAGTGAATATGTTTTGTTTTAGTCAAAACAAAAGGTGACATCTTGTATACATGTCATAATCTCTCAATGTATTAGAATAAGTAGGAATAACAGGCTACTCATAAATAAAGGATCATTTAAAGATCAGCTTTTAACTGTTTAGTTTGAATTTATCTTAGCAAGTTGTTAACATGTCTTTCATCATCCCCTTAATGTGATAAAACATCTTATATAAATCAACATAATCTCAAAGACGACAGTAAACATCTCACAGAGGTAAACTTGAGACATTTGAGTCAAGCTTGGCTGCTGTGTTGCAGAGCTTCATCATTCGAACCTTGAGTTGATGGTAAACAAGTTCCTGTTGTCTGGCTCATGTTTCTGTGCTCGTTAAACCCGCTGCCAATGTTTCAGTCAACACATTTTATCCAAACGCTTAGCATCCCACTGTGTCCTCTCAGGTTGTTAAAAGCTAAAGAAGCATTTATTTATTATGCCTTAAATGCATTTTAAATGCCTGAACGACAACAAGATCATGTTGGTGAGGAGTCTGCATCTGCCACCTGCTATTGGTGTCTGTGATGCTTTAGGGTTTTTTTTTTCTCTGTCATTTTTCATGTTTGTAAAAATCTGTCTACTGAAATTCGTTGAGATCTATTTGGGGGGGTCACTGTAGTGCAATAACTATAAAGTGCAAGGCAACAACAAGGCTTAAATCTGCCCCCCTGTCTCCTTTCAAAATGGACATAGCTCCAATCACATTGGATAGAGCCAGCTTTTGTCCATTTTTTTTTTTACAGATTGTGTTTAGAATTTGGTCTGGACTTTGACTAGGACAATCCAACACATGCTTCGATTTAGTTTCATTGTGTTGCTAAAAGGGAAGCTTTCACCCAGAGGACTACCGGAGCCTCTAAAAATTTCCTCTTGGACGGTTTTTAGGTCCATGCACATCCCACATCCAGCTTACTTATCCCACCAAACACACCAACATCGTAAAGTCTAATACATACTACTTTTCAGATTTGTAGTCATTTTAATTAACTATTTAAGATAATTTAAAGCTAATACTTCATACTTAATTGTGCAAAAAAAGAAGACATGGATAACCACAAACAGACTTCCAAAGTTGTTCTTAAAGTCAGGCATCTGAAAAAAATCTACTCGATGCCGCAATAAAAATGTGTCCCCCTCTTTCAGTCCTTTTTCTCAATTATTTACCACTTTGTGTTGGTCTATCAAGCCAAATTCCTGTGAAACACTTGGAAATTTGTGGTTTAACTTATTAATGTGAGCAGAAAATATAAATTAAACTAAGAATAAACATTTTACTAACTGATTAATGTGAATCCATTGTTTGGACTGCAGCATGTTTCCCAAGATGTAATAATAAAACCGGCCTGTTTATTTAGGCTGACCTGAATATTTTTTGCATCCATGGTATGAAGTTTGCTGCTATATTTATCTGGAGGTTCTGAGAATTTGTATTTCGATCAGATCAGAAGAACAACAGCGGAGTTATTATGTTTTTAATAGCTCAGCCGGCGGGCCTAACCGTCCTGCTGTGAAAACCTCTGTTGCACTGGAGACGTTTTGCTCTCTGGACCACCATGTCAACACTGTTACTGTTGATTTTGATGTTTCAGGCAGTGAGCGGGTCACTGTGACAGCTCAGACATCAGTGGTGCGAACATATTGGAATCACAGGCAGAACATGGAGCATGTACTTTCCAGGGTATCAGATAACTAACTCCCCATCTGCAGCCTCCACACGAAACTCAAAAATTTGAATATTCTTGGCACCTCCCCAGATAACCCCAGGACTATTTGCCTTCATGCCGCTCCAGTTCCTGAGCTTCAGCCTGGCTGAGCTTCTGAACATGTGCACATTGTTTCTGTTCTGGGCCAGCTGAGCTGCCTGGAGGATGACATAGACTTCAACTTATTACATTTGATGATCTGACATTTAAAACATGGCAAACAGAAAGACAGAGAAAAAAAAACTTTGATTTTCTTCTTATGTTGTCATGTTTCAAATACATTTTTAAAATTTTTGTGGGGATTTCACAGGATGAACCAGCAAAGGTAATATAATCACTGTGAAGTATTTTTTGTAGTAAACAAAGAGCATCAGAGAAAAAAATAAATAAAACAGAGTTAGAAAGCAGTGAGAGGAACAACAGTTCTGAACTGAATCACTGCAACCAGTACATTAAAATGATTCGTTCAAAAGATTTGTTCTCCAAATCAGTTTCTTTTTCTGTCTATCAGTGTCCTATTCAGAGAGCTTTAACTGCTACTGCAGCTTTGCATTTAGCCAATTAGCAATGCTTTTAGTCTTTTACAGCCTTTTGTGTTAGCTAAAACATAAAACATGTCAAAATATGTCATTAGACAAACTTTTAATGTTCTCACCAAACTTTTTTTTAAAGTTCTGCCAACTGGAAATCAGTCAACTCAGACAAATAAATTAGATGAAAAAGAAGACTTTATGGTGACTTTTAGATTTATATAATCTGTTATTTATTAAAAAGATCAATTTCCAGATTACAGCTGATAAAACTGTCACATAAATCACTATTATCTATTCCAGATAATCTCCATCCTCTAGGTTCATTGTTATATTACGTAAGTCGTTGAAACAGCACCACTCTCAGTGTTATTTGGGTACTGCAATAACGAAGGTGCGATTTATTCAGGTCACAACTCAGCCTGACCGCATGAACAAATCAGCGCCTGATTCGTTCATTAGATGAGTGAGGGAATCAGTGGCATGAATCACTCACAGTGACTAACAGCATGATTCGTACAGTGAGTGAACGATCGCCATCAGCCCAGTAGCAATCACCACTGAATCCTGCTGTAGTAGAGAGGGTGGATCAGCACCATTTCCACTCAGTACTACCTGGCGAAATGCTCCTCCACAGGATTTCTCTATGTTTAGTGCTTCACAGTGCTAACTTCAGCTTTAGCCGTTAGCTCGGAGGTCTTCCAGGCTAACTTTGGCAATTATTTCAGATGTTGTAGTGACTCAGGGCAATGGCGTAAATATCGGTAAGCAGAAACTGGGTTCATTAGACGGTTGGCAAAAAATACGCTCATATAATATGTTTCAAATCGCAATAGAGATCTTAAAAGAACAACGTATTTGAGTATTTTATTTTTTACTCTACGAATTTAAATGATGGGTTATCCAGGGTGTTGGACTTCATATGGGGCCCACCCAGGTAATGTTGCTTACGGGCCTATTGTTGTGTTGTTATGCCATGACTCACAGGCCTTCCCTCCCGACCAGCTTGTGCTGGTTTGAACTAAACTGAGAAAGTAACGAAGCCATTAATAATAATTATTACATTTTCATGACTAACACAACCCTCATAGAAAGCAATACTTCAAAGCTTTACACATATCACCATACATCCTTTGATCCAAAAACATATGCTAAGTCCGGATGCCGCCCTAACCCCTAAATTCTTTAATTAGATGATCTTTAAACAGATGATCACTGCTTTTTGCTCCCTGTTGGTAACGTGACTCTGCCTCTCTGCACGATGCCTGCGCCATCTTTGTTATTTGTCTATGCTGTTGCTGCCCAACCGTGGGCTGCTGTGACAGCAAATCCCATAATGCTTTGCATGGAGATCTCTCCGCACAAAACATTCCGGGATATGCATCAATGCATTTTTTGCACCATGTTTTTTTTTTTCTCCCCCACTGTTTAGATTTGATCACTACTGCACTTTATGGAAATGTTCATTTATTGTCTGGAAAGCTGTACTAAATGAAAATTTGTTTTGTATACACTCTGTGTATACAAAACCACAATAAAAGTTGTCTAAGACTAAAAAACAAAGTCTAATATGTCAAATCGTCAAGTGAACATGGATGATCAATACTTTTCAAGGTGCATTGTGGGAAATTTTGAGTCTACGGTTTTTTCATCCACTAGACTTTCAGACACTCATATAATAGCATAATCACTATAAAGTGCCATATATAGTGATTAGGATGGACATTCGGACACAGTTTCAATTTATTTGTCTTAGCTGCGATGCCATAAGGCACGAATGTGCATCTAAGCTGCAAAGTTGGAAAGGTGAGCAGAGAAGAAGCGAAGTGAACCTCTGGAGGAGCTGCAGAGATCAACGGCGGAGGGAGAATCTGTTTACAGGTCGATTATCGACCGAACTCTTCACAAATAGAAGAGGTTAGGTAGAATTAAAGCACAATGAGAGCTATGATTACCTGCATGTTAATTTCCAAGAACAGTCCATAAATCCATTTGAAACTGTTAAAAGGTTTCTAAACCGAGGTTCAGAGAAGCTTTCCACCTAATTCTAGATACAAAACGATCAAAGATTATTGGATTGAGAGATGCAAACAGATGCAAATGTAAAAAAAAACTCTTTATCCATATTTCCTTTTTCTTCTGCTTCACATGATGCATTACCTTTATCTTAGTCCATCGCATCAAATCCAACAAAAAAATTTATCGCAAAATATTTAAAAGTTTTGAGCAGTAAATGCCCCAGAAAAGAAATCCACTTTCCATATTTACACATCATGAATAGTGATGCCAAATCATCCTGAAACAGGAAATATGTCCCTAAAATACCCTGACCTTTCAGTGTTTTCCAGGTCATGAAAGAGCATCTAAATCCTCCTGATAAAACTGTCATCACCGGACCGATGAATTATGTCTCAGATTCCACGCTGTCTTACCTTCTGCAGTGATTTGGGCCATGTTTGTGTTTCTCAATCTTTTTCTGCTGATTTCTCAGCTTTTAAAACGGTGAAAACAACTTAGTAAAAAAAAAAAAACAGCTAATAAATAGATTAGGTGAGAAAATTTAGATTTAAAAGTTTCTGGGGATGCTCTTGATGTTTGATGGGTTTGATGATGCTTCTCCTGAAAGCTTCTAACTGCAACTGGCTCTGTCCCACTTTTCGGCTCTGCTTATGTGCTGCAGTGACAGTATGCCCGATGCAGCTGCTAGCTGCTGCTGCTGTCTTAAATGTCCCTTTCTATCTCTATTTTAGGATGTTGAGAGCGTCATAGCAACAGGGACCTCTAATCCGAGCTGGCATGTTAAACCAGCCTGATAGCGGTGGGGCTGTCTGTGATCTGGGTCAGTGGGAATGAGATATTGTGGTTCTTTAGGTCACCTTAAGGTCCTGGGAATCAAAAGTACATCTCAAAACATGTATTGGGGAGAAGAGTTTGGTCCAAACAAGGCAGGACTGGTGGTGACCGACCACTATTACCCTAGTTATATTTTATGGGGAGATGAACAGCATACCAGATGACATATGCCTTTACAGAAGTTCCACGAACGAATATATAGTGAATGAAATAACAAGCGTAAAAATAACTATTTTAATAAAGGCTCTATATCCTGTGATATATTATCTTTAAAGAAATATTAAATCAAAATATATCAAAATGTGAACAAATTCTGGTATTCTAAAAGCTAAGATAGAAAATACTGAAAATTATAATACCTTATTCAGATGCAGAAGAAACCCCTCTCTTTATATTTCTGAGGGGTAATTTATTTTTAAATCCTTAAATTCTATTATAATGTGGTACATTTATAAATTATTATTAAAAATAGGGTCATGTATTAAATAATGAATGCATTTTTGATTACATTATGACAGCCTTGAGTCAGCATATATCCACTAGGCCAATTGCCCATTCCAGCCCTGGGTCCAAATTTCCACAGGGCAATGTTTCTTTAAAATAAGCTTATATATACATATATTTGGTTACACCTTCTCATTCACTATGAAAATTGTAGAGTCACACCAAAGGCATTAAAAATATGCATGAACACATGTGGAATTATATACTTAACAAAAACGTGTGAAACAACTGAAAGTATGTCATATATTCTAGGTTCTTCAAAGTAGCCACCATTTGCTTTGATTACTGCTGTGCACACTATTGGCATTCTCTTGACGAGCTTCAAAAGGTAGTCACATGAAGTGGTTTTCACTTCACAGGTGTCCCCTGTCAGGTTTAATAAGTGGGATTTCTTGCCATATAAATGGGGCTGGGATCATCAGTTGCGTTGTGCAGAAGTCAGGTGAAGACACAGCTGATAGTCCAACTGAACAGACTGTTAGAATTTGTATTATGGCAGGAGTCAGTATCAAACAATAAACTTAAAAAACTTTTTGTGGACAAACAAAATAAAAAGAGGTAAAAATCTGACACCTTTGGATCCAGACTGGGTCACATGTACCAAGATAGGATGCCACCAGTGCAGAAAGTTCTGGCTGTTTAATATGTGACTTGTTAGCAGAACTGTTACAAAGTGTAAGTGATTAAAACCAACATCAACTCGGCTATTGAGTGATGTGAGGTTTAAAACCACAGAACAGAGTCAGGTCTGGGCATGTCAGGGTTACCAGCCATCTGCAGAAGCAATAGCTCAACTAAATGTGAGATGTGGTGTTGCAAAGAAAGTCAATGCCGCCCTTTAGAGAAGAGGAAGTATGTTATGTAGAACAGCGGTTCCCAAAGTGGGGGTCAGGAACAACATTAAAAAGATTTTAGAAAATAAATTAGGGGATTTAAAACTGAAAAAAACATTGATTACTACTTTTGAGATATTTTCTTTTTGTTTCATTTTTTATTTTTTTTTTCAGCTGCTGTTCACTTAGTCTTGGGGTGGGCCTTAAATTACATGGGTCATAGAATGGTGGCTGACAGCTCAGGTGCCTGAAGGAAATATTAGGTGTTGCATTCTGACTAGAAATATCCAATTAATTGAAACATAATCAATGTTATATAATTATGTGGGCGGACGAATATAAGGGGTAGAGCGTAGCCGCCTGTGGCTGGAGTTGTGACAGGCAGCCCGGGCTGCCTGTCACAACTCCAGTCCGGCATGCGGACATGAGTATATATAACCTAACGGAATATCTTCAGAACAGCTCCAAAGGACACAAAACTCATATCGGTGAGTAGAACATGATGTAATAACATAAAATCAAGGGCCCGATGTAAAAAAAAAAAAAAAGAAAGGCTGTTTCCCTTTAACAAAATATGTTAAAGGGAAAATAATGGAACAAATTCACTCCATACAGCATGAAAAAAGTTAAGATAATGGCTGAAGATTCATAATTTTAATGGTAGAGAAAATTTAATTCATAGTTGAATATGCAAAGAAGTATTTTATGATGGCTTGAAGAAAAGTACTAGTTAATAATCAACATAACTTAATCTTGTTCTTTGACAAGTAGATATTTGCAGGTTTATGTAGCCTTTGCTGCACCACTGTAGAATTATGCAGTTTATTTCCCCCTTAACTTTATCAGTTTAAAATCATGTAAAACTAAGATAAGAAAAACAAAACTTAAAATGGTCATGCCTTGACTTGTCTAATTATCATGATTGGTCTGTGGTTGAGTTACAAAATAATTTCTGTGTGTGTTATGAAACGTTAATCTTACACTGCCTATGGGTTGGAATATCTGTCAATGCCTTCATTTTCATGAACCCGTCTCTGCAGTAAAATGCAAAACACACTTGCAGCAAGCATTATGGATGACATCATGCATGCGGGAAATCTCCTTTCCAGCAACAACAGCAGCAGCTCTAAATAAATGGAAGTGTTATGTAATATACACAACATTCTGTTTAGGATAAAAAAAATATTTTTACGGTAAGTTGAATTTAACACTTCCTGATGTTAAATTCCAGACTTCTCTCCCCCCCTACAGGAGTGTTGACTTACTTTTCAAGCATGGCGTTGACTGCTGCTTGAGAAGCGGAGTGTCGGTTTTCTTCATCTTGATTCGCCTAAAAAATGCAAAACTTTGATTAATCGATAACATATCAGTAATACAATGAACTTCTATTCATTTCACGCATGCAATCCACTTAACTGTTTTTATTGAAATCTAATTTGTGAAAAAGGATAGAAAAAACTGGTAAATCTGTTAAAAGGAAAGCTATAAGCTATCTGGTCTTTACAGAATAGTGGCGAAAAGGAACACATCCAGTTGGCACATTTAGGGGGACCCACCAAGCATGTCTTCTCCTCTTAGTATGGGACCAAAAAAGTAATGGCAGCACCGGATGAATGCCTGTTAATGTGGCCCAGATGTCTGAAATCCCATGGTTCTGCATTTTTCTACTAATGTTATTTTGCAGGAACCAGGGTAAACATGCTTTCATAAAGCTTTAAGACGCCAACAGGCCTTTCTAGTTTGAGCCTTTATGTGTTTAGTCATTTCAGAATGATCAAATTTGAATGATCTCCTCAGTGCGTAATCGGGTTATCCTATTAGAAGCTGCAAATAAGTCTGGACTAGTTCTCATTCCAGTAGGAAATAACACTAAACACACAGCCAGAGTTAAAATGATAGGATCTTGACCACAGGAATCAAACTGCATTCAAACTTAATTAAAGAAATATTTATTTTCAGATTATTTGGATAAAAAAACAACAGATAATTACTGGTATCTTTTTAGGACATAAAAGAAGGGGAGGGCAGGCTGCCCAATAAGAGCTGATCCCTCAGTATGTTGGCTCCTTTCTTTATTTGTGTGCATCTAATTTTTCCTACCAATGCCAAAAACGTGTGATAATGGACTTCTGTAATTAATCTTCCTCCTCTCTCATGAATGTGCACTTTTTATAGGCAGCACTGTCACAATGACTGCAGTTTGTTACACATTTAAAAACTTTCTTCGCCTGAATCCTCACAGATATTTCTTTCTTTTATCTGTCCAAACATGCAACCTCTTCAGACTGAGACTTTTCATGACTCGACAGCTTTGTTTCATCTCATTACAAACTCAAAAGATCTCCATGTAAACACTCCTCCTTTAAGCTTTAATGGACCCATTAGTGAGTAAGTTAATGGAAATCAAAGGAACATAATGACGGAGAACTGTGAAAAACCAACAAACACATATGAGCAGGAATCGTATTGACTTGTGTGCTTGACCAGGCTTGTCAGTGTGTGCTGTGTGGAAACAGGAGCAAGAACACGCCCACACTCAGATGAAGGGCTCTAGAGATGGAGCATAAAAGAGCTACGGCTTGAAACTAAACAAAAACATCTCTGTCTTTGGTTTGGACCAGCTGTACGGACCATAAACACAAGCGCTTCTACTGCAAATTATGTCTTAAAAAAAGTTACATTCTTTTAAAAACCATAACTGTTAATAGACCTATTACTCTATATTCTATAGATTTTCCATAACAAGAAGCAGGATTAAATACAGTAACTAAATTCAAATACAGCCACAGTCCCTGATTGAACAGATAGTGCCATGCAAATCCAGACAAGTCTAACAGGGAAGATGAGAAAAACAAAGGCTTAAAGTTAACCATACAGTGAGACACTTACTGCTGGATGTTTTCCCTGCAGGACTGTGTGCGTCGTTCAAACCTCTTAGCACTGCTGAGACCCTTATTAGGTGTAGCCTGATAGTCAGAGCAGCCTCTTGCAGATAAACAGCTGCTTTACTCTTTCACTGCCAACCTGACTCGAAGTGGATTGGTAATAGACAGGAACCCCTTCGACTTTCAGGAAGTGATCTGCATTCAGTCAGGGCGGTAGAGGAAGTGCTGGAGGAGGCTTATATCTGCACCAGCACTTTTCAAATAGTCCTTTAAGTGGATGAGAGCTATTTTTAGACCACACCCTGCTTTGTTTAACCTGCCTGGTATGGTTGGGTCATTGTTCAATGGGCTGACTATATTCAACACATTCCTATCAGGGGCACGAGTTAATGTGATAACTGTGCTGAAGGATCTACAGTTATGTTACAAAAGAAAACACACCCTCTTTTAGTTCCACGGTTTCATATTTCACAACATTTGGGTTTTTCTTAAACTGGTTCTAAAGTTAACTAAACTTAACCTCCACTGCATGATGAAACAGACTGTTAACTATTTATCAGAGGTGTAAAAGTACTTAGAGTCTTTACTTTAGTCAAATAAAAGTAAAAAAGAACAGGTTTTAAACTGCATTTAGGTACAAAATCTGTTTAAACATTTCTTTCCTTAACAGAGCCATATGTGGAGCTATTCTGCTGTGACCTTTCCTAACATATAATGTATTTATAGATCACTGCTTCTATCTTCATCTTTTATGTCTGCTTCTGTCTCCTTGAACTCCTTTCAACCTCTGCAGATGGCTGTGCTCACTAAGCCTGGTACTGGTTCTGCTGGAGGTTTCTTCCTGTTAAAAGGGAGTTTTTCCTCTCCACTGCTGCTTTATGCATCCTGAGTGTGAGGGACTGCTGTTGAGTAAATTACAAAATACAAGCGAATATCTACTTTCGAGAGAATTCTATAAGTCAATGATTGGATGCAATCAGTTGGGTTTTTAATAATTATATATATATATATATATATATATATATATATATATATATATATATATATATATAGGCAGTGTTGTGCCTGAACGCGTTCATTGAACGAAAGTTCATGAACTCGTTCATATTTTGGGCGAACGTGAACTGAACGTACTGCATTATTGCCTGATGAACGTTATTGTGAACTCGTTCATTCTGGTGTCTGTGAACGGCACGCTCTCTCAGTTCAACTCCGTTCAATAGGTTGCCAGATTTCTATAAAGCCCTCCAGGCGAAACCCCGGCTAAATCACACCGTAAACAGGCCTTAATATGTAGCTGGAAAAACACCCAATCTGGCAACAGCAGCTACCAGCGTCGTAGCCTACAGCCGCGTGCGTCATCAAAACAAAATGCAGCGTGGAAGCAACAGCAGCATGGAGGCCTATGGCAAGCCGTTTTAACATAAATTCGGCTGCTCCACCTTTACATTCAAGATATCTCAAATTGTTTTATGACTAGACGTTTTAGTGATTTAAGATATCTCTAAATATATTTTGACTAGTCAAAATTCCTATTCGGGATATCTCTAATTACATTCTGACTAGTCGAAATGACGTCAGATTTACCATTAACTTGTATGGAGACGTCAATTTAAGATATCTAGAATTAATTACTGACTATCTGAAATACACATTTCAGATATCTACAATTAAATTACGACTAGTCATAAAGGAAATTAAAGATATCTCGATTTTAGTTTTGACTAGTCATAATTCTAATTAAAGATATCTCAAATGCCACCATATTTCAAGATATCTTAAATGTATTTTAGGATAGGAGATATGCAGTTTTGACTAGTGAAAACTCAATTATAGATATCTTAAAAGCAAATAATGACTAGACAAAACAAATTTAAAGATATCTTGAATTGTACTTTCGACTATTCGAAATTCCTTTTAAGATATCTCTAAATGAATTAAAGATATCTTGAATTATTCAGCTTTTCCATTAAAGATATCTTAAATTGACATTCTGACTAGTCAAAATGACATCAGTGATATCTTGCCATAAATCAAAAACGTCAGAGATTTGCGTAGCGTTTTGGCGGACAGGTGTTAGCCTTGCTAGCTAATTGATTGTGCTATTCAGTGGTCCACAATAGCTGCGTCTCAATTTGCAGGCTGCGTTCTTCGAAGGACCCAGCCTACCCAGCCTTAGGAGGACCCAGGAGGATGCTCCGAAGGCTCCGATGGCTGGGATGTGGAAATTTTTATTTTATTTTATTTTTTATTTACTTATTATTGGAGGAGGAGAGTCGGCTTTGACGGCTTCGGCGGCAGCAAAACGGTCGACGGATTTTTCTCAGGCTGGGAGAGAGCAGTGGAGAGGTAACATTTACATGTTATTATTTTCCCCCACAGGGGCCTGCTAATGATCAGAATATACCAGCTATTAAACAAACGTTTGTCAGCAGATTGATGAATATGTTTATCAAATTTTAGATTCATTTGTAAGACTTGATATAAGCTTGTTTGTAACTTTAGCAATTTGAATTGCATAGTTAAATGTGTACAAACCCTGTAAATAACTGACTTAAATCACTACTTTCACCATTACTAATGTTGTGTTGAGAACCCAAACTGTGTTAGATTGAGAAATAAATCATTATTTGTCTAAATTATCCCCTTACTGCCTGATTTTATTTGCAATTATATAACAAAAACAGAAAACAGAAAAAAAAAATTCTAAATCTAAAAACGAAAGAAAAAAAGTTAAATAGTGGATCTAGATTAGGTAAAATAAAATTTCTAATAATTCATGTAGCAAAGATAATGAAAAAAGATAGATGACTGAATAAAAATAAAAATTTTTGTCTCCTTTTTTCTACAGGTCATAATGGCATGTGCTGTCCTGCAAAACATCTGCCTGGGAGCCGGTGACCCCCCAGATGATGTCCCACTCGCAGTCAGAAGACTCCAAGCTCATCTGTGTGGCATCCCATCCCATCCAGTCCAGCAGCACCACCAGGGACTCCTGCTCAGTGACAATTGTGTATATATATATGTTCTCAAGTAATAATTATTGTATATCTTCTGTAAATAGTAGTAGTTAATTTTAAAATCTAATGTAGTTAAAAATGTTTTTAATAGTTTATTGTAAATACTTGCTTCTCTAAAAAATAAACTGATGTTGTCACTGAGAAGTTGTTCTAAGTTTACTTAACTTCTTACACCCTCGGGGGGAATAAATAAATTTCCGCCTGACAAAAACACACAAAAGTAAATCACTTATAGCCTCACAGCTATTAGATTTAAGAAGAAACTTTTGGTACCTCTGTAAAGGTAAGATGTCATAGAATGGTTTTCTGGTGTCAGCACCATTGTAGCTTTGACCCTGCCTGAAATATTAGGGACAAAATATTTTGCATTTTTTGAACCTCGCCAAAATTTTCTTTGAAATAAACATTGCAAAACACTACCAAAATATTATTTATAGCACAAAAAAGTAGTACAGACTTTTAAATCTAAATGTTGTGTAAAAATATACCAAATTTGGACTCATGAATCATATTTATTTTAGAATGGTATTAGTGAGAAATTTCTTAGGCGGAGAGGCCATTTTGGCACATTTAACCAAAAATGTCACCAAACTGTGCCAAAAGTGTTTACATCAATATTGGGGGTTTGTTAAAATTACGAGGTCACGTAGCAGCTGGACCCACCGGTGGGTCCGTAGGGTTCAAGGGGTTAAATTGTAAAGAAGTGATGAAACAGATAATGTAAAAAGTTTAAAAGACACACCAACAACAATAACTTTTATAAACAATTTAATAATTTAATTTAACAATAACAGCAACACAGAACCTCAACTTGTAAAAGACAAAACAAAACAAAAAATCAACATCTGTCCACCATCCTCTCCAATAAATTAAATAATCTGTCCATCCTTTCCCTCCTCCCTCTGCCATCTGATATCCTCCCTCATTAAATCAACCATCTCGTCTCTCCTTCTTCTCTTCCTCCTTTCCCTCCTCTCTCATCCTCATTCTCTTCACCCTGATGCTGCTCAGCCTCTGCAGCACCTGGCCCTGGTGTGTCCTCAGGGATGGAGGCAATTAGGACAGGTGAGTTTAACAGAGGGCCTCTGTCCTAATACCTCATCCATGAGGACAAACCAGGGCCAGGTGGCAGCAGTAGGGTTCCCACTGACCCCCTGCTCTGTCCCTGGATCTTTGCATTCCTAAAGTGGAGGAAACAATTTGTGTCAACAGATGCTATTTTCTGTAGTGTTTCTTTAAAGCTAGAAAAAAGGAGTGTTTCATGAACTGGATGGATTGATGAAATTCTACAGAAAAAGACTACTTTGGAATGATAACCTGGAGAGGAATTTTTTCAAGCTTACTAAAAGTGTTTTAATGTAATATTATATTCATTATTGGAAAATGATTTATTCACAAGTGAAGATTCTTTAAAATGTCTCCCAATTTCCAAGCAAAACGTTTTCATGACTTAAGTTACTGTAAAATAAAGAATCCTTCAGGTCTTCAGATTTTATAGCAGTATACTTTAGCTAAACCCCTGTGTTACTTGTTTTATTTTGTTTTTCTTTTTTTCTATTTTTTCCTTTTGATTCTTTAAAATTTTTTTGTCTGTTTAAGTTTATAGTTTTTTATCTTATAAAAACCATTATGGATTGCATCTGTTCAATTGTACTTTTCTGCTGTTTGAAATAGTATTTTGAATTTGTTTTTCAATAAAATAAAAAAAAAAAGAAAATCTAAGAGTGAATAAGACATGAAGCGGAGGTGCGCTTTTATTTTCAGAGGAGCTGAAGGAGGGTGCTGTAATGCTTTGTGCCTTCTAGCAAGTCAAAATCAAAAGCTAGTTGGCTTTACTATAATTTCCGAAGAGGCAGAAAGCTTTACCACAGTATTAAAAACTGCATCTGGTTATTACCTGAACCGGCCTGGGCTGCCGAATATTCATTGTTTCAGATCGGACATGGGTCGATATTAACACTTTCAGCTCCTCTAAGCCGTTTTAAGTGCGTTGTGTGTGTCGGCAGAAAGTTGATCAGAAATTCTTTGCAAATTCCGCAAGCATTCTTCAAGCATGCTTTTTTTCTCGCTCTCCACATAACCCAGAATGAAAAACTCTTTCGATATTGTGGCATTTTCTCACAATTTTGTCCAAAACTGCCGGTGTAGGTACCAGATTGACTCGGGCTGCCAGATTGACTCGGGGGCCTGCGCCTTTTGATGACGTCACAATATGGCAACTCCACCCGTCACACTATATGGCAACGCCACTCGTAACGATATGGCAACTCCACTCAAACAAACTACATTGCGCCCGCGGTCTCTATTTGTCACAAATCTATTTTATTTAGCCAATAAACGGTAATCGTTTGGCATTGTCCGTTAATTGACCAAATACCTATAATACATTAAAACATTAATTTTTCATTAATTTTTTTACAGATTACAGGAAATGGGTATATATTTTTTTCAGTTCAAACTTTATTCTCATGTAAACACAAACATTTAAACAAAAGAGCTGGTAAAAAATCCCACAGTGTCGTGGTGTTTTCTCCTCTGGACAGGCAGATCCATGGATGACATCCTGGAGATTTAGGAAGGAGAGGAACAATAAACATAGGTGTAATATCTTCATTACACTTGTATCTGATATGTCCATACCCTGTTTAACATTTGTAAAAAAGAAAAAATAATATATATATATATATATATATATATATATATATATATATATATATATATATATATATATATATATATATATATATATATATATATATTTATATATATATATTATAATTAAAATATATATATTTTAATAATAATAATAATAATAATGATAAATATATATATACTAATTACATAACTATATGATCAAGAAAAGTAAAGTAAAACATTAATGACCATAATTTGATTTATGTTCAAGGTATTGTGGGCAACTTGCACATGCACAACAGCATCCCACCTCTGCTCAGAGGGATTGCTTTAAAGAATCTCCCAGTTACAAGGCTTTTCTAATAAATAACATTACTCAGTTCCTTTATATTTTACACTTTAATCCTTCTGGATAAACTTCAGTAAGCCAATTGAGTCTAGGCCAGGTATCTAACTTATGTTTACCTATTGCATTTGGCTGCAAAAGTGACTGCAGTATCCAGGGTTAGGGTCTTCAGAGTAAATAGCTTGCAGCACTCCCCTTTTTCCTTTCCCAACATATCCTGTAGAAAAAAATGAAATAACAACAAAAAAACGAAACAAAACAAAAAGCACACTGATCAATGGCAATTACACTCTGTGTTAAATGACGAATTACAACAATACCGTTTGGATCTATATAGATTCAAGACTATAAAGTTTGAAATATATATACCAGGTGTGTTTTTTTTGTACAGAGTTCTGCATTCGCAGCATGTCTCAATGCTGTACATGGTGTAGAACTCCTCCTTGTATGACAACGAAAACCTGCCCCAATTAGCAACACCTGTAAAAAACAAATTATACACAAACAGTGAACATTTCCAAAGAGCTGGTGAAAATATGCATAACGATACCACTGTACCCTTAATTACAGCACTTACTGTCAAGCCACTGAAAATGCACCCTTCTCCTGAAACCTACAGTGGACATGATGTCTCTGAAGGTGGTGCAGACGAGCCCCAGTGTCATGTAAGTCTGATCTCCTTCCAGGAGTACCACTTCCCCGAGGATCTCAGAGAGCAGACATGCTGACAACTGTGAAATTTAAGTTAGGCAAAACAAAATATATTAAAAGATAATCATTCTGATCATCAAGGCATAAATTGGGAGAAATGAGAGCATGGAAAATTAATGACAACAAACATATTGTATTTCCCTTATGTTTTAATTCATCTGGTGTGTTGTATTCAGTGTTGTATTCAGCAGTGTTATGTGCTTGGAGTTTAAGAAAGTTATTAATAGATTACCTCCAATATGAAACATCTGTCATCTTTGGGAAACACAACCTTTTAGGGGAGAAAGGGAAGACATATGTATGTTTATATGAAATAATCTGGATTTCTTTAATGAGTCGATCATAAACAGAAGAATAGCACTTGGGACCGTCACCAAGATCACCTCATGTTTCCTCTTTCTGGACTTTGGGATCCTGTACATTGGCTCCAGTGACCCTTTCAGTAATGCTGTAGCCTCGCTAGTCCAATGTGCAAACCTCTGCCCATGGCTGTACATTCATGACAGAAGAAAAGAGATTAAAGTAATGTGGAAGTAATTTTGTTGTTTTGGGAACTATATTTACAATTGTCTTACCCTTCAATCTGGAATCGTTCCATCAGACTAATGCACCACCACTTCCGAATGTGTACCATGTCCCTCTAAAAGAAATTATTTTAATTACTCAAACAAATGGTAAAGCATGTTCTAGCTTATACTTAGCCTTGTAGAAATTGCAAACAAGTGGTATAGGAAATTTTATTTAAGATCCTTTTTGTACTTGGTCACATGTCAGAAGAAAAAATACTGACCTCAGTAAACAAGAATGGAGCACCTGTGCTGATGCTGAGGGCATACTGTGAAAATCAAATATCTATTCAGTTATGGTGGATTAAAATTATACAAAAAAACGTTTCAATAGAGACTAGATTTTTTTTTAACCATTAATATAAAGATGCCACAACAGTTTCCGGTGGTCTGGTGAGGGAAACTCTGAAAGAATAGGACAAACATCAAAGAAGAATGTACCAATCTTACAATAAAAATAAAAATGCAGATTTAAGCTTAAAAATACAATCCTAATACACTGGAGAGGTATACCTCGATGTCTTTTCCAAACTTAGTTGTCCAATGGCCTGGAGCAATGTGATGAGCGAGGTCACTGTTAACATCATTAGAAATGCAAATGAGTCACCTCTTACATGTATTAATGTCAGAAAAACAGCCACTGAACAGGACTGAAAAATAATTTTATAGCCATTGAACGAGGCTCAACTTTGAAACAGCCTTTAAACGAGGCTTTAAGCTCATTTTTCTACAACCCAAATATTGGAATTCACAGTATACTCAGTCAGGCAGACTTGATAGCAACGGTTAGAAATTTAATTTTGTCATTTGGCCAATGTGTTGTGTACCTGCAAATTTTGAATACTATGAATTCTTTAGAACTCCCATACTGAACAAGCCACAGAACAGGGCTGATTGTGATGTTACAAAACCTAAAAATGCTTTGGAAATGACTGTCGCCAAAGCCATCTGGTTTGAGAGAGTCCAGCAAAAAGAGCTCTTTCTTTGCTGGCTTCAGTACCTGTGAACCATTTTCAAATAAACTGAAGTTATCCTAAGCAGAAAAAAATTGACAAAACTACAGAATACATTGAGCAAAATTTTAATTTGATAGTTCACACAATCTGAAATGGACTCACGCAGAGCAAATAGTGATCTGCTTTTCCTTGCTGTTGGCTCCAGGCAGGGATGATTATGTCTTTTGACAGGTCACGCTTTTGAACAAGTGAATTTGCAGAATTGTATATCAAGACATATTGAGGTGTGTAAAGTAATACAGAGGGTCAAAGGAATAAAACAACTTACGAGAAGAGCGGCCTCTGGCTCCCCCATTTTGGACTTCCATGTTGGAACAACGTACATGTCTACAATGTGGACATCTTTTCCCTACAATGATAAAAATTACAAATTCATAATGGTAAACTGGATTAACAACAGCAACGTTTCATTGTTTAGAGTACACTAATTAGAAGAAATAAATTTAAACTATAAGGGCTTAATTCTACATAATGTTTGTTTTAATACATGACAACCATACACGTCTTTGGGCAGCTTCTTGAATCAGCTTGAAGCATGCGTTTCCAATCTGCAACAGAGTTAAAAATAGTAAAGACTTTGTGGATTCATCTGAAATCAATTACAACAGCTTTAATATACCTACATTGGATTCCATACATTGGGGAAGACCCAAGCTCCAGAAGTCTTCCCGTGTCAGGCAGACATCCCCATCTTTGGCAATAAGCTCTGCTCCAGGCCGGTTTAAATCAAGTACATATTTGAGCTACAAATAATAGATTGGAAATACAATTAAAACCAGCAGAAAACAAATTGAAATATAATCAATACCCATTCATTAAATAATTTACAGGACACACATATATGCCTACCAGCATGACTTGGACTGGATTGAAATCAGTCAAATATCCCAGAGAAGGCCAGTAGTCATGGTCACGTACTAACTGCTGTGGCACCAGTGGGCCAGAAATGGGCTCCTGTTCAGCTATAAGTGGTTATAAAAAAACACTTGCAGGGGATTGTTTTTTATAGTTTAAAGACTAAGGGACATCTTGAGTACAGTTACGTTATGTTTCTTACTTCCATGGCAAAATTAAATGAACAAACTGTATTTAAATTTGTACCTTGGAAGTCATCTCCCTGAGAAATTAAAACTTCTGGCACTTTGGACTCTGAAGAAAAGAACAAAGTATTATGAAGGTAACTTATGCCTGTGAAAGTACAGCGAGTCTTTAAATTGCTAATCCTAATACCTCTCAATGTAGGGCGGATGAAAGGCTTCAGCTGTGAAACATTTGTGTTCTGTTTCAGCTGAGCACCTGTTTTGCTGGACAGCGTTGCCACACCCTTTTCAGAAATGGAGGTAATGACGTATGGTCCAGACCAATTGGCTTCAAGTCGCCCTCCTTTTCGGCCTTCCTTTCTTTTATTTGCTTTGAGGACCTCATCACCAATTTTGAAGTGGAAGGATTTCAAGTTCCCTCTTTTTTTTTTTGTCTCATACGCCTTCTTTTGTCTGTCCTGCGCGTTTTTAATGTTCTGGTAAATCTGAGAAAATATTAAATGATGTTTCTTATAATGTTATGATTAATTAAAACATAATACATAACTCCATAGACATATATTTCCTTTTCACCATCACCTTTGCATGGAGTTCTGCAATGTCTGCAGCCTTGGCCTCCAGGTCTTCTTCTGTCTCCTCAATCACCATGACACGTTTGTCATCATCCCCTTTTTCTTGCGTTGTGTTGTTTATTACACCTGGTGTGCGGGGGTGTCTTCCAAACAGAGCACAATAGGGTGTGTGCTTTGTAGATCTCTGTGAAAAAAAATACAATCATTAGCATTTTACAGTCTTCTATGTCCGTGTGTTGATGGAAAACTTCATACGGATCAGCAGGCATTTTCTCTCAATCCTCAATTTTTGCAAGAATAAAGTGCCATTTGAGTGATTCTGACCAATCTCTCTTGATTTTTTAATTAATACATGGACATGTCGTGGGCATGTTGCTGGTACACTGTCTTACACACCTGTTTGGATGTGTTGATGCCTGCTACTACTCCCCGTAGATGGATGTCCCAGTCGTTTTGGTCCTCCCCACAGTATTTGGCTAATGCAGTCTTGATATTGCGGTTGGTGCGCTCATCTTGTCCATTGGCCTGGGGATGGTAGGCTGATGTTATACAGTGTTTGACACCCAAACCTTCAAACACACCACGGTTGACCTGTAGACACATTTGTATAGCTTTGAGTGATACAATATGATTCATTACAAATATACATTATTTGTAAATAAAACTGTACCTCATTTACAAATTCCCGCCCCTGGTCGGTTATAATCCTCTCTACCAGTCCAAAGTCAAGCAAAATATTGACAATTTTTTTGGACACCTCAGTGGCACTTTTGTTGTAGAGGGATTTTGCCACCACCCACTTGGTGAATAGATCTGTGGCAGTTAGAATGAACCTGCAACATACAAGCAGATTGTTTTGAACATAATTTGTATCCATGACTGTCATGTTCTCTGTTCTCTTTATCAAAAATGTAATATTACCGTTTGCCCTTTGCGGTGGTAGGAAGGGGACCAATTAGATCTATCCCAAGGACAGTCCATGCTTCCTGGACTTGGATAGGATGAAGGATGGGTGCCACAGTTTTTATTTTTTCATGGTGCTGACAGCGAGGACACTCATCAACCTTTAAAATAAGTGATTAAATAATTGCAGTTGATTTCCTCACAAGTACACTGTATATTTGAAGCAATGTAGGGACTATAATAAATGGAAAGCATCACAGTTTAAACAGAACTTAGCAAATCTAATAGCATAGCCTAATTTTCATTCAGAAGAATAAACAATTAGAAAAATCTTACCCATTTTTTGACATCCTCTCGTAAGGTTTTCCAGTGGTAGGAAGCTACCACCTTCTCTACTGTGCGGCGCCTGCCATGATGTCCTCCGCTACCAAGGTTGTCATGGCAACTCCTTAAAACCTCACAAACCTGAGCTTGAAACACCACCAGACGGAGCTTGCCCTGGTAGTTGTAATACAACTGCCCATCTAACGCAACAAATAAAACATTCATTTAGATACTGCTCTATAAACACAGTTTAATTCATATTTTTGCACATTTGTCAGTCACACTGGTACTTACTTTTAACAGTATAATGTTTTGATGTCTTACGAATGGTTGCCTTTCTGGTATCAGGACTTGAACATGATGTAGTTAGGCTGTGGTAAGTCCCTTTTGAAAGATAATGAAGAATTTCTTCGTAAAAATGATCCATGGTATCAGAGGGACTTTAATCTGTGTGGCGTTGCCATAATGTGACGTCATCGGGAGGCGCAAGGCCCATGGCGAATTCGGTGACGTCATCGGAAGGAGCAGGGACCATGGA